TGATGGCTTCTCTTGTTGCAGAGTGTGGGCTCTAGGGTGTATGGGCTTCAGTAGTTGTGGTGCATGGGCTTAGTTACCCTGCGGCATGTCGAATACTCCAGGCCCAGGGACTGAATCCCTGTCCCTCACATTGGTAGGCAGACTCTCAACCTCTGGACCACTGGGGAAGTCCGAGTGAATACGGTTGACACAGGGCGAATGTCTGAGATGTTAAACTAGCCTTGTAATCATCTCACTCTGGTCTTATTAAAAAGAATAAGGCCTATTTGTTTAATCTAATTGTAGTCAGGTATTCTGAGTTTTAATCAAAAGCATCCTAGTTTATGCAACAGTTAAAGGTTATGGGCTCTGAAATTACACATACATACGTTTGAGTTCCAGATCTACTGTCAGGGCACTGTTTGACATTGCATATAAGTTACTAGGTCTTTCTGTACACATGGGGTAATAGTAATCATACTACTTGGGTTAATTGTGAGGGCTAAATGAGATGATGCATAGATACTGAGAGTACACAATAGCTAGTCAACAAATGTTTTTATCATTATCATTGCCTCTGCATTTAGTCATCAAAGAAAGCCTACAGAGGTGGGCAAAATGGACATCTGCTCAGGCATTGGGAACAGCATCATTGAGGAGGGCAGCCCAAGGGAGTGAGGGGGCAGCAGTGGCCCCTGGAAGAGAAGTGGTGTGAATACCTTGATTCCTCCTCAGAACTGTCAGCTCATCACCCCGCCTGGTCATCTTGCAGGTACAGTTGCAGAAAGTGTGGTTTGGGCCATGCCCAAGTTGTACATGGCCAGCAGATGCTTTTGCAGGCCCAAGCAATGTTTTTTACAAATTTGAATTACTTACTAAGTTAAAAAAGACAAAATTTCATGTAAAATGTAGATCTCTGATCTTACTATGATATTTTTTTTTAAAAAAAGAAAGCCCCTGTTTGTTGAATCCACTTGTAGTCAGGTGTTCTGATTTTATCATCAAAAGCATTCTTGTGGACAAAGGCGGCTTGGGGGTGAGGCGTAGGTGGGCCTATGGTCAGGGCAGTATGGGCTCTTGCTCTGAAGTTAAACCTGCAGTATGCGAACTTGGCTCTTAACATGTACTGAACTTGGACAGATCACTTAACTTCTAGACCTCAGTCTCCTCTTTAAGACGAGGTTAGCAGTAGCTACTGTTTTATAGAGTTGTGGTGATTACCAAAAATAAAGGATATACAATGCCTAGGATGGGTAAGTGAGTCATAAATGCTGGCTTAAGACAATTATTCCTCAAAGAATAGGGTTGGTTGTGGCTGGAATGATCAGGCCTTGGGGACGAAAGAAAAAGAACAGTTTAAGTCTTCTCTACCAAGGGAAAGTAATCATCAGACTTCTGTGACCCGAGCTGGAGAAATACTCAGGCAGTAAGCCAAAGAAGTTTCTAAATTTCCTTCTTTTGGTGAGCCTCTTTCCAGTTATATTGACGCAAAAAAGTTGAGTAGCAGGAGGCGTGCCAACTGTTGGGTGATCATGCAAAGTTCTGTTTCTTCCACCAGAGGCCTCTTGTGCTCAAGAGATGAGGCTGGTGGCCGCTGGAGGGGGACCCTGGGTCAGGACACTGGTTTCCTGGAGGCTTCCCCAGAGGAAGGCAGGGAGGGCAGACCAAGGAAGGGCTTGTGGCCCTCTGCCCTCACCGTCCCCTGTCCAGGCTTCACAGAACTGGCTGTCCATGCCCTGGAATGCTGGAGGCCTTGCTGAAAGAGAGAGGAGGGAGGGAGGGAGAGAGACCGAAAGAAGGATGGATAGAGAGAGAAAGCGGGGAGGAGAGTAGGATCGCAGGAGGAAAGAACAGAGCAGCTTTGCTGAAGCTCCTTCAGCTCCAGGGCTCAGAGGCAGGGCGTCCAAGAGGCTGATCTCCAGGTTCAGACCTGCAGAGTGACCCTTTCTGCTGTTTTTCAGTCTATTTCATTTCCCTTCGTTGTTGCTACCTTGGCAAACGGGTGGCATCTCAACGATTTTTCACCATACTTGAATGGCTATGGATCTATGGAAACTTGGCACAAAGCCCCCAGAGTGGCTGATTGATGGGGGCGAAGTCAGATGAGCTTTTAAACGGCACAATAGCAGAGAGTGATGAGGACTGAAACTGCACGTTATAGCATGATTTGAAGAAATCTGGTAATGGAGGGAGCAAGGGTGGGTCTTCCCTGGTCCAGCACAGCTGCTTCTGTTGAAGGGGGGTGGACGTGTGGGTGTGTGTGACTTCCTGCCCACATTTCCTTTCTTTGTTAATTTTTATTGGAGTATAGTTGATTTACAATGTTGTATTAGTTTCAGATGTACCACACATTCTTCCTTGAAGTTTTAAACCTGGAGTCTCTTTGCCTTTCAGAACAACAATGGCCCCCAGCACGTTTGCTGTGTGCCTGTGTGGATCATCATTCAAGATGTTTTTTGGCAAGGCAGGAAAGCAGTCAGGGCCAAGTGGTGGCTTTGACCTTCCCAGAGCAAAACCGGGAAGGAGAAGACAGCCAAGCGCTGCGTTGGCATTGGGCTGACTTGCCCAGTAGTCCATGAGCATATGTACATCCCCAGCATGTACATCCCCACCAGTGGGAACGGTAACATGCCCCTGATGCTGGGGCCCAGGTGGTGATTGGGGGGGGGATGCAGGGGCTGGGGCTTAGGAAGGAGATGGGGATGTTTCTTCTGGGTTAAGATGAGCGCTTCCTCAGTATCGCCCCCAGCCCCTGTGCTAACAGGTAAACCTAGAAAACCAATGGTCGGGAACGCGTAGCCTTGGGAATTGGTGTTGAAAGGCAGCTGCAGCCAGGATTATAGGAAGGAGGTGCTATCACATTGTAGGGACTTTAAAAAGATGGCGATTTGGATAATTTACTTAGGTGATCTTCAAGATATTGTCTAGCCTTGAGAAAATGAAAGAATTTTAGTTACATCATCTTTTGACTCCATGCCTCCCTAAATCCATTACCTGGGGAAGCACAGTTCAGAAAGAAAGTTACCCCAAAACTCACAACATGAGAAAGATATGCAACCCAGGGACCTCCCATCAATGAATAATTCATATTTAAGCAGTTTAGCCTATTATTATGGGGAGAATCAAATCATGTGAACATTTAATCAACATATCTTTTTAGTGGTACTCTGGGTTCATTTTGCATGTTGGCTGGGGTATGACGTTGTGATTCCATTGCTTTTGTACGGATTTGTAAGTATTTTTTTCTTTTCTTTTTTAAATATAGAACTTCAAAGGACTTCAGACTCAGACATGGCTAAAGAAGAACCTGTGGAATCAGATATACCTGGATTTGAATTTGGGGTGAGTAGTTAATATTCAGATATCTGTTTCCTCATTGTAAAGTTGGGGTTAAATATGAACCCATAGGGGTGGCTTGAGAATGATGGCTAGAATCCATTACAGCAAAGGGACTGACGCGTCACAGACGCTCAGACCTGCCTGTCTCCTTTGCCTCTCTATTCCGGCTAAGATGCAGAGGGTGGGTTCGTGGGGGCTGTGTTCCATTGTGGTCCAGGAATAGCTTCACCACATCCAACTACCACAGGGGACTCGGGCGGGTGAACGGGCAGCAGCCTGGCTTCCTGCTGTCAAAAGACAAAGACTGCAGATCCTGAAAAAATCTGGGTTGTGCTTGCAGCGTGTAGAAGACTCAGAAGATGACGAAGCCTCTAAGGAAGCTATTTTTGCATGGCTTCCTGCTGAGAGACGGGCTTTGGGGAAGGTTTATTTCAGGCCCATTGTAGCTCCCCACCTGTCTCCTGCATTCCTTCTGCTGTTTACCCCCATCTGCCGGGCCAGAATGAAAGACACTCCTTCCTCAGAGGCACAGACGGCATTGGTGGCCTTTTGTCCGAGCACACACGCGCACTCAGGACACCACTGTGATTTGGGAGAAGAGAAAGGAACAGAAGCGAAATAGGGCTTCTTCTTAAAGAAGGGAAATGCTATTTTCACTTCCGGCGTGTGTTTCTTTGTTGTTCCTCCTGGAGTCAGCTTCTCTTTAACATGACCTCCTGGTATGGGAATTGTTGGGACAGTAACAAGCACCTCACACCTAAGGCTTAAAACATCAGCTTGTTGCTTCGTTGCCTTGTAAATCTGCCGCCAGGGCTGGACTCTTCGGGTCAGCGTTGGCCGAGGCAGAGTGAAGTCCCCGTAGGTGTGACTCTGGCTGCCGCTGCGGTTGCTGAGTTGTTTGAATCAACAAAGTTTGACTCTTTGTGACCCCATGGACTGCAGCATGCCAGGCTTCCCTGTCCTTTGCTCAAACTCTTGTCCACTGAGTCAGTGATGCTATCTAACCATCTCATCCTCTGTCACCCCCTTCTCCTCCTGCCCTCAGTCTTTCCCAGCGTCAGGGTCTTTTCCAATGAGTCGTCGGCTCTTCGCATTAGGTGGCCCAAGTATTGGAACTTCAGCTTCATCATCGGTCCTTCCAGCGAATAGTCAGGGTTGATTGACGGCTGGGATCCTCTCAGAGGTTCACTCCAGCACATGTCTGCCATTTCTGTTGGTTGAACACCCGCAGGTGGTGTCTCCACATGGCCACCTGGCTCCCTCAGAGCATGTATGCTAACCGGCTTCCAACAGGACAAGCCCTACCCGAGGGACTGGGCAGAAGTTGAATTGCATTTTCTTACCTAACCTCAGGAGTCACTCCCCATCACTTCTGCTCTTGTCACAGGACTAGCTAGATGTGCAGGGAAGCAACATTGGCCTTGCCCCTCAGAACAAAGGCCTCGCCTCTCAGGAGTGTTAGCATGATACGGTAAAACTGGTGGCCTTGTCATGGCCACCTGGAAAAGAACTGTTTGTCACAGGGGCATAGAACTGGGCAAGGAGTGGAGGCATATGCTTGCTGTTGGAGAATTAAGGAGACTCAGAGCTATTTTTATTTTAGAAATATAACTTTAAAAAACTGGAATATAGGCATACCTCATTTGATTGCACTTTTCTTTACTGTGCTTTGCTTATATTGCTTTTTTTTTTTTTAAACAAACTGAAGGCTTGTGGCAGCCGTGTGTTGAGCAAGTCTATCAAGTGCCATTTTTACAACAGTATTTGTTCACTTCATGTCTCTGTCACAGTTTGGTCATTCTTGAAATACTGTGAACTTTTTCATTATTATTATATTTGGTATGGTAATCTGTGATCAATGCTTTGATGTTACTGCTGTAATTGAAGTGTCACAAACCACGTCCTTACAGGTTGGTGGTGGTGGTGCTGGTTAGTCGCTCAGTTGTGTCTGACTCTTTGTGACCCCATGCACTATAGCCAATGGTAAGAATACTGGAGTGGGTTGCCATTCCCTTCTCCAGGGGATCTTCCCCACCCAGGGATCAAACCTGGGCCTCCTGCTCTGCATGCGAGCCATACAAGTTGGTCAACTTTGATAAATGGTGTGTGTGTGCTGACTGCTCCGCCGAATGGCCATTCCCTGTCTCTCTCCCCCTTCTAGGGCCTCTCTATTCCCTGGGACACAACAATATTGAAATCAGCCCCATTAAGAACCCTTTAGTGGCCTGTAAGTGTTTAAGTGAAAAGTTACGCCTCTCCCTTTAAATCAAAAGCTAGAAATGATCAAACTTAGGTAGGCACATCAAAAGCCAAGGTAGTCCGAAAGGTAGGCCTTTCGCACCAGCTAGCCAAATTGTGAATGCAAAGGGAAGGGTCTTGAAGGAAAATGAAAAGTGCTACTCCAGCGAACACCCAAATGATAAGAGAGTGAAAAGAACGTTATTAAGGATGTGGAGAAAGTTGTAGTGGTCTGGACAGACGTGCAAACAGCTACAACATTCCCTTCAGCCAGAGTCTGCTCCAGAGCGAGGCCCTGACTCTCTTCAATTCTATGAAGACGAGGGAGGTGTGGCAGGCTGCAGAAGAGAAGTCTGAAGCCAGCAGAGGCTGGTTCACGAGGCTGAAGAAGAGACGCGTCTCCATGGCATAAAAGTGCACGGTGAGACAGCAAGGGCCACAGAAGCTGCAGCAGGTCGTCCAGCAGATCTGAGAGCCAGAAGGTACAAGGTAAATTCCTGCTGGAAGGCTTCCTGTCGCAGAGCCTCTGTTGTGCTGATGTCTCAGTGCTTCATCGCAGGAGGCATGGGGAACACACAGAGGCCTGAAGAACAGCACATGAGGTGGAGGAAGATGAGGTGATATGGCCTACATAAAACGAGCCTAGCAAGGATTTGACAGACTGAAAGCTTTCATCTCCAGTTGAAACACTTCTGATAATTTCTGTTGTTGTTGTTCATTTCTGGATCAAAAACTTGATTCTACAGCGAGCTGTGAATCTGCAAACCAGGCTGTGGAGTGATCCTGTGATTATAAAGAATAATCTTAGAAAAGTATTTATAGGGATCAAACAAGATGAGGTCATTAATTTGCTTTTCCTTTTATTATAAAAGTAGAATAAAAAATAGCATTTATAAATCCAACATTTTTTTCCTTTAAAAGTATTTGATCTAAAAAAACATATTTACAATGGCAAAATGCAGAAAAGGGAGGAAATACCATTTTCAGCATTGATTGTAATCATGTTTAAATATTGACATGTACATGTTCCTTTCTCAAATCACATTAGAAAAAGCATTGAGCTTTTTTTTTTCCTTTTTCTTGCCACCTGGCTTGTAGAATCTTATCAATAGTTCCCCAAGAAGGGATGGAATCCGTGCCCCCTGCAGTGGAAGCTCCAGGTACTAACCACTGGGCCCCCCAGGGAAGTTCTCAAAAGACTCAGGGAAATGAGTCTTTGTATGATTTTCAAAGTCAGTCTCATTTTAAAACATCCCTTTCCATAATCCTTGATCTGAGTGCACACCTGTGCTGTGGACAGCCAGCAGGAGGGCCAGGTGGGGGTGTGACAGCTTGTAATGAGAGCGGGCAAGCAGCAGAGGGGCAGCAGCAATGCCGACAGAAAGCAGCTGGTAAAGCTCAACAAGCTACCGCGCTCCCAGCGGGGCACCAGCCCAGCCGCAGGCTGTGCCTGTGGATGCTATCGTCAACTAAAATTCATTTCAGAACCAAAGAAGAAATCCACGTTTAAAAGGCCTGGAACTACACCCAGAGTGAGCCAGGCCGGCCTGTGTTCCTCGGAGCACCCTCGAGTGCAGCTCCTTCCTCTGGGCGACACGGTGGAGTTTCCGAGCTTTGGTGTCCTCGGTATTGGAAACTGCCAGCGGGCTAAATTTTGCCTTCTATAGGTCCTTCCTGCCCGTAGTCATGGGGCACTTTGTTAAGAGTTAGCAAGGAGGTGCTGCTGGTCAGAGACTCCGTGAAGCTGAGTTTGCGGAAGGAGGTCTCTACACCGCTGTCACAGATGCTGTCGTCCCGGGGCTCGTCTGCGGAGAGAAAGTGCAGGTCATGGGGCTGCACCCCGACATGGCCAGGCCTGGCTGCAGGGTGCCCCCACCCCACGGGGCTCTTGTGCGCCAGGCAGGCTCGCGGGCTGCATCTGCCGGCGGCCTCCGCTCATCCCCGCAGCCCACACAGTGGGGTGGGGACAGAAAACACCAGACATAGCCAAGTGTTTTCGCCTCTCTTTCTTACAGTCTAGCCTTGTGTTTGTCAGAATCCTTTCTGAATTCTCTTGACTCAAAGTGTACTTTTTTCTTAGAAATCAGGCGTATTTTTCCACCCACTCCCTATTGTATAGCAGAGGAAATTGCTGAATGTAAGCAAAATGGTGACAGAAGTAGGAACTAAAAATGACCTCTTTGGGCTACAGATGCTATTCAACACCATATACTGCCTCAAGAACATTTTGGTAGCAAAAAAAAAAAAAAGTGAAAATGCATTTCTACTAGGCAGTTAGGTCCGATTTTCCTTTGAGAAGTGTCTCTAGGGAGCTGAAGAGTATGAATGATTTCCCGTAGAGAGAGAGGGACCAAGGAAAACAGAAGTTTACCATACCCGAGTCAGAGAGCTCTTTCTTGTATGTTAAATTCCAATGCTGAAATAGTAAGACCTTCATGGCAGTGACATGGCTATGGTTACTGGTGGCTTTATTCAACCACTCAGTCTTTATGGGTTTCTGTTATGTGCTAGAAACTGTGAGGTATTTTAAAAGTAACTATAAAATGAGGGCTTGATGCTTTTTAAAATAGAAGTATTTACCTACTTCTTAGTGTGGAAGGAGCATCAGGTCGTGAGACAGGAGATGAAGGTGCTTTTCTGGGGGTACCCTGTTCTCTTCGAAAGTGTGTGTAACACCTGTCCTCACTCCCCTAGGATGGCCACCCCGACAAGAAGACACTGGTGTTGAAATGGATGGCAAGAAGCAGCCCGCCAAGCAAGGACCTGTGCGGGGAAGGGGAAGAGAAGGCTCCCAGGCTCTGGGCCTGGATCAGTGTAGTGAGCTGGGGGAGCTGAAGGAACGCAGGGCAGGGGGTGGGAGGGGGCGTGTGAATGCCATGTAGGAAAGAGAGAACAGACAAGCCCCTGCCGCCTTCGCCTGCAACAGTGCTGGGCAGGCAGGATGCACTCAGGGGGGCGGGCTGAAGGGGTGCATGAACCGGAGGGCACACAACCAGAGGAACGTCATTTTTAAAGAGAATCATGCACTGCAGGTGGTGACAGAGTGACAGACTGGAAACTGGGAGACCAACTGGGAGCTGCCGCGGGAATGGAGGTAAGAAGTGGGGGTGGGCGTCGAGGGTGGTGGTCGTCAGAGAGAGGAGGAGGCTGGAGGGAATGCTGCGAGGTGCTGGGACCAGGGAGGGTTCACGGCGTCGTGACCTCTTGGAGCACTGCCTTGCTCATGAGCGCCGTGGCAGTGCTGAGTCTGGGCGTGAGGGGCTCCGAGTCCTGTGCTGTGACGAGGGGGCTCTGGAGGCTGAGACCAGGTGGGGGTGGGCGTGCCGTGCAGAAGTCCAGGGGGAGGGGGCCTGAAGCAGGAGGTGGGGGTCACCTGTGCCCCGGGGCAGCTGAGCAGGGTGGTGAGCAGATCTGAGCAGACACTGGGCCTCGTGGCGAGAGGAGTCCTGGCGCAGGGGCTGACCACAGAGGGTCAAGGAAGGATGTCATGAGGGGTGAGGAATAGCTACAGGCTTCTAGGAGGCTTGACTGAATCAGAGAAATTGGGCTGCAGCTAAAGGGGGTGGGGGATCAAGGGATGTTTGTTTTCTGTTATTTTGAAAAGATGAGGGGAACCACACTCTGCTTGCCGGGGGATCCAGTCGGGAAGGGAGAAAAGGCTGACCTGTGGAGAGGCGAGAATCAGAGGAGCGTCTGGACCGGTGAGAGGTGGGCTGGGGGGCTTGCTGGTGCAGAATGAGGGTTCCAGCTCTTTCTATGTTCTCAGCGCAATGAGGCGGGGACATTGGGTGAGAGTAAGGGGCAGGAAGGGGCGCTGGCGGTTTCGGAGGAGAAGCTGAGACAGAGGTTTTGGGAGATGGAGGACTCGTGCTTACGTGTCTAGGCGGGGTGACAGGTCAGCGTCGTGGAGGCTGGCGGGGAGAGGCAGCAGGAATGAGAGGACCCCTACAGGGAGGAGGCTGAGCAGCTGATGGGAACGTCGGGGCGTCAGCCCACAGTCGGGCGCTTAGTCCTGGTTCCACAGACATTGGTCTGCTCACCCCTCTCATAAATTTAAGCGGTGAGTGATCGGGCTTACCTTCACCACCCGTATCGTGTTGCTTTTGTTGTCGCGGACCTCAGTAATGCATGTGTCAAGGTGCCTGTGCTGGGGACAGCCCCTCCCTGAGCAGTAGCGGCGGGAGGGGAGGATAACAGCACCTGGGGTCCAAGAGGACACGGATGCAGGGACCGTGTGTTCAGGAGTGATGGTGGGGAGGACAGGCCACAGCCCCGGAGACTGGAGGCATGTCTCAGCTGCTTTTTGTCTGTTTTTCCATACCTATCTGTGGCCTTTTGGAGGCGGGGGAGAACGGCAGCGAGTGGGCTTGGGAGGCGGTCTTGGCCGAGCTGGTGTCTGTGGTGCAGAAGGCTGCCTGGATCACGTCAATGGCCTCGGTGTAGCCCATCTGTCTCAGGGCCTCCACCAGCTCCTTTATGGTGCCCCCGGAGACCTGAGAAATGAAGGAAGAGTGTGCTTCTGTGTTCCAGCCTGTGCAGGAAATAAGCAGGCTGTAAACTCGACACCACACCCCGTCCCCCTGCCAGGCTGCCTCCTCCACCGAGACGGCCAGGGGGCATGGAAGGTCTGGTGGAGAGCCTCTAAAAAAAATCAGGGAGCCTCAACATCGTCTTTGAATCAGGTTTCCTGTTTCAGCTCAGAGACCACTCAGGAAATCACAGAGAAGCACTTCATAGTGAGCAGAGAGACTGCCGAGGCAGTGACGCTCTAGAGTGAAACCTGAACAGGCTTCCTGAAGCTCTGAAGACCACTGAGAGATGAGCAATGATGGAATTTTCAAAAGAAAGTAACTTCACCCCATGGTTTTTCGGCATTTATTTTAGAAATTAAAAGCATCACCATGTAACGGCTCTGCTGGGAGTGACCTCAGCTGCTTCTGGGATGTGCTCATATGAGACCAAGGCCTGTGCTGGGGTAGAGGAGGGCACGGATGTGGAGCACAGTCTCCTGTTCAGGAGACCGGCGTTCTGTGACCATCCTGACCCTCCAAGTAGCACTTCTGCAGCACACCTCAAAGTATCTGAATACAACCGAGGTGGGCTTCCTCCTGGCCTGGGCCACACTCCCAGGACACGGGGAGTGACTCCGATTTCGCTGCTCAGAGTTAGAGGCAGGGGAGGGACTGTGCTCTGGTTGGTAATGTTAACACAGTCAGATACACACAGCCAAGGGGGTCGCAAAGAGTTGGACATGACTTAGCGACTGAACGACAATGACAATGTAAGGTGACACATTACCTCGTAGTTGTCCATGAGGGTTTTGGAAGGAGCAGGACTCAGCCGGAAGGCGTTGTTCAGTATCCCCAGACCTAATTTCTGTGCCAGAGTAGCCCAGTTTTTGTCTGGATCAGGAATTTCTAGCAACTTGTAGAGCTGCAGCTTTGCATCTTCAGTCAGCTGTTTCATGTCTCCTAAAGGAGATAAAGAAGAAACATGACCATCCTAACTGATCAGAGACTCTCCAGAGGGACTGGTCACTGCCACACGGCTCCGCCTCCCACCCCGGGGAAGCAGTCGCGCTCTTGCACCAGAGAGTCAGCAGCCACCCAGGTGAGTAAGAACAGCCCACGCTGTGGTAGATCACAGCTGGACCTTCTCCGTGGCAGGACCCCCCTTCTCCTGAGAGAAGCCCCCGCCTTTCACAGCAGAGTCTGGGTAATGCCAGATCTCCCTCAGCCCCTTTCAGGGTCAGGATGGAGGTGATGCTGGCTCGGGGCACCTGGTTCTCCCACAGCTTACCTTGTGCCAGCAAATCATCAGATGTAAACTCTGGCTCATAGGGTTTCCCATTTAATATGTCAAATACCTGTTGGGAAGAAAAGTGCGGGGATGTTACAGGGACCACCAGAGAAATATGGTGCTTTGTGGTAAGGAACTCAGCCCGTCCTCCTCAGGAGGGCTCGTACCCCTACGGTGGAGTGGGAGGAGAAGTCGGCACCCTGGCCTGCAGACGTGGCTGCCCTCTGGGGCTCTGGGCCCAGGAGGCTGTGCCCCACAAGTGCTGTCTGAGCCACATAGCAAGATCCCACCCAGCCTCACAGAGAGCCAGGCCACAGCCCTTCTGAGGAACAGAGGTGGCCCAGGCCACCCAGGCGGCCACGTGCTGGTCAGAGTCGACGGTAAATGACGTTTCCCTGAGAGTCAGGGCAAGGACTGAACCCACGCCACGCTGTGAAGCTGTGCTCCCTGGCTGCCCCTCCTCCCTGGCAAAAAGGCTCATAAGAATGAGTTTTTTGAGCTTGCTCACACTGAGGTGTACAAATGCTCGCAAGGCTTGAGGATAGCCTCTTGGCACCATCCACCTTTTAACTGAGGGGCCAAAAAAGTCTTAGGATAAAAGAAAAGAAAACAGATAACTAATAGGAACCTGCTGTAAGGACAGGGAAATGTAGTCAATACTTTGTAATGACCCATATGGGGAAAGAATCTAAAGAAGAGTGGACATACGTGTAACAGACTCAGTTTGCTGAAACTAACACAACACTGTATATCAGCTATAGCCCCAATAAAAGTTAAAGGAAAAAGAAACTCCCGTAGCTCTGGAGGCTCTTCTGCATTCTCTGCAGTGGTTGCTGGCTGACCTGGGTGAGGACCCCACGGGGTCACCAAGTGGCTTATTTTTGTGTTCTGTGGTAAGGCTTCTGGGAAAACCAGGCGCTCGGGGTAGAGTGCCGTGTGGTCTCTGCCAGGGTCACACGGGCCCTGAGCAGCCCTCAGGAGTTTAGTTAGTTGGGCTGGAGCTGTGTGCTGCCCACCTCCTCCTGTGGCTTCCCCTCCCTGGGCCCAAGGACCTGGTAACCGCTTTCACCTTTAGCTCTTGGGTCAGCAGAGTTCTGAGGAAGACTTTAAGTCTGTTCTGTTTACACTGATGAAAATCCTCAGAAGAATCCCCATTTCTTCTCAGGTTCAGCAGTTACTTACCGAAGTTCAGGCAAACCATGGCATGTATCTTGGCTTCAGAAACTCAGATGGGAAGGATTCTGATGTGAGTTCTAATGGGCAACACGCTTTGTGAATTCTGAGTTTCTGTCATCTCACTCTGATCTGATTAGGCGTACGCTTTTATGTTCAGAACTCTGCTGACCTAGATCTTTAGCGGATAGGCTTTTCAAGATAAATACAGCTCGTGACAAGCAGCCTGTCTTTAAAAACACCAGGTGCGGGCTTCGGGGAGTAAAGACTGAGGACCACTTGCCGCCTCAGAGGCAGCCAGCACGCTGGCGGAGCAGCACTCACCTGCCAGCTGGTGGCCATGTCCAGAGGAGTGGTTCCCGGTACAACCCCTTCGTCCTCTCCATCCTCATCCCAGGAGTCATCCAGCTCGTACAGAGGCTCGAAGTTCTCCACCAGGGGATCTGCTCCTGCAGAGCCAAGTCACACAGCATTAGGTAAAACCCACATCTTCTCAGCTCCTAACTGCCTGCAGAGACCAGATTCTATAAATATATAAAACGCATTTCCACTGAAATACCCAGAAACCTGCCTTTAAATTCTAATATATCTTGACTGTAAAGGTGACCAATGATACCTCTGTATAGCCAAGGACACTTTCAAAAACAAAGACTTGGACTGACTCTCACATTTGACTCTATAGGATGGTTGTCAGTGAGCGATGCACCTTTGACCTGAGGACTAATGGCGGCAGTTTTCAGGGCCTACCTGGTGCAGGAGATGCAGGTTCGATCCCTGGGTCAGGAAGATGGAGAAGGAGACGGCAGGAGAAGGAAATGGCAACCCACTCCCGTTTTCTTGCCTGGGAAATCCCACATACAGAGGAGCCTGGTGGGCTCTAGTCCATGAGGTCAGAGTCGGGCATGACTTAGCGACTAAACAACAAGGGTGTACCCTTAGGATTAAGGTCCTATCTGTTCAACGTGATGCCTAGCACCTCATTTTTCTCAGTGTCCTCACCTGCATGCTCAAAAGAGCAAAGCTGTTTTCTGTCTAGTGCCAACCTGTTCTGCTTTATTCCTGGGATATGGCACTGATCCTTAAATGCAAAACACTAAGAAAACCTGCTGGTAGGATGCATAGTTATTGAAAGGTTATAGCTTCTAGTCTGAAGGCATTTCATAATCATAACCAGTGACTCCCCAAACTAATCATAAACACTGCAATCACCATCTCTTGTTCATGGGAATGTTCAACTTAACAAAGAAGAAAAGAGAAGGCTGCTGCTTATTTGGGATATGATGTCAGAAAAATGTGGTGCCAAAGAAAAGGTTCTTATATTTTCCTGGTCTCAGTTGTTTTTTTTTTTTAAGAAGGTATTTAATCTGCTATTTCCTTGAATTTGTGAGGCATTTATTTTCTAAAAACAATTTAATAACCTTATAAGTAAATCAAGTATGCCAGGACAGGCTTGAGATGCCAGTTACATTAAACATGTTTGAGGTTCTAAATGTATAAGGCAGTGGAGATTCAAGGATGAGCAGGAATAATTTTCCTATATTTCACAGGATGAAAGGGTTGAATCAGAATAACAGTCTACATCCTTGAGCAAAGCAGGGAAGAGAAACATAGAAGAGTCTGGAAGTTCAAGGTGACAAGGTGTGACTCAAGCTCTGCCCCTTACTGGGGCCCGGGAACTGGGATGCAAAAGTCTCACAAGTCTGTTTCCTTGGCTATAAAATGGGAGTAGTAATGGGATTTGTCTCAAAAGGTTACTGCAGATTAAGTAAGATTAAATGAGACAGTGTGAACTATCTAGCCCAACAGAAGCTAGCAATTTTCAGGGTTTGGTACATGACAGTACTTACTCACACTGGGCCCATGTGTTTGTTCCTATCATTTTGGCTTCTCAGAGATCTTTCTTACAAAAGGAAGTCTTTAAATGCTTTATTATACCAATAAACTTTTCCTTCTGAGGACCTGTGATGGGACCTTACGGCTGATAACTGCTCTGAATTCTACAAGGAATTCAGTTCAACCTTAAGATCTCCTGTCATAGGACTCAACTTAATCCAAATCCAAAACAGGTGAGTAAAGACTAACATGACCATCAGCGTGGCACCCAGGATTACTAATACAAACAGAGCCTTCGTGGCTGCTAAGTGGGATTCGCAGCAAACTTTTTATTTGTGCCTTTCTGCAGCACGTCTGTAGGTTAAGGAGGTGGCCTGGCTGCTCGAGTGAGTCTGGGTTTGCCTTCCTGATGACATTTTCTATGGCTGACCACCAGCTGCCTTACCTGCTGCTTTGAGAAGAGCCGCCAGCCTGGTGGACCCTCTCCCGGCAGCTATGTGCAGGGGTGTAGTTCCATCATAAGTGGTGCTGTCCACGTGGGCATCACCCTAAAATCCGCCCACACAGGAAAGGGTTAGTTCAAGGTCCTCTGGCCCTTTTGTCCCCACCTCCCCTGTGTGCATGGCTCTTCAGGTCATGCTCCCAGCCCAGCTGTATTCTAGGCAGGCTCTGCCAGTGCAGAGATCCTCAGAGATGCCGGGCAGGGGAATACTGGAGGGCTTCAGCGGCTATTCTTGAAGCCTCCAGTAGATACTACACAGGTAGAGCCAACGATAGGGAGATGAGCTGTTAGCGAAGTTGTTCTTTGAAAAGATTTTCCCAGATGCCCTTTGGGAATTGAATGAGAAGGCAGGTAAGTGCAGCCCTCACCTCCAGGAGCAGGCAGCCAGCCAAGGAGATGTTGTCATGCTCCACGGCCAGGTGCAGCGCCGTGCGCCCTGACTTCCGCTCCTGGGCGTTGACATCGGCCCCCGCAGCCATCAGCAACAGCAGACACGGCAAGCTGTTGCTCATCATGGCTACATGGATGGCATTCAGACCTACGGCCCAAGCACAGGGATGGTTATGGGGACGGGAGGCTGTTGGGGGTCAGCATGTTCCCTAGTCCAGTCTGTACAGGTGCTGTAAGTCAGCTGCCCTGCACGTAAACCCCACACTCCTTTTGTGTTCTCAGGAGACAGTGTGAACACATAAACATTCTCTGAATAAAGGATGCTTTCCACATATCATGGGGGCTTCCCTGGTGGCTCAGATGGTAAAGAATCTGCCTGCAATGCAAGAGACCCAGTTTGATCCCTGGGTCAGGAGAAAGGAATGATAACCCACTCCAGTATCTTGCCTAGAGAATCTGCAGCCTGGCAGGCTACAGTCCATGGGATCACAGAGAGTCAGACATGACTGAGCAGCTAATGCTTTTTCTACATATCAAGAATGGTGTTTGCTTAGGCCTCTGCTTTTCCCTCCTAGTGACTATTCCAGATCATCTTCAAAGGAATCAGCTGCAGCCAGCAATGGAAATTTCCGTAAGAGATGATGAATTCCAGGTGGTTAAGGAAAGCACTTTTGGGCACAGATCAAACACACATATTTATCTGGCAGCTACTTATTGTTGAGAAAGCAGACAGAGGTTACACCATGATGCGTGATTGTCCCTTACCTTCCCCGTTGGGGTGGTCAATAAGCTGTGCTGCCTTTTTGTGCTTGAGTAAAATACCGAGAATTTTATCATGTCCTTCTTTGGCAGCGAGGTGCAAAACAGAGTTACCCAAGCGGTCCAGAAGGCTCAGGTCAGCACCAGCCCGCAGCAAGTCCTCCACCACAGCTTCCTGTCTGGTGATTACTGCCAGGTGCAGGGGGGTCTAGGGGGTGAAGGAGAGGCAGATGACAACACTGGTCAGTGGCATAGACACGCTGCAATAGGTGGAATCATACTGAGGGGCCATTTCTCATTCCCAGATGAAGTTCTCACCTCTGCAAATGAGTTACTCTCCATTCCATATCATATGCTAATGATATATATATACTGGACTGACATTTAGTTATCAAAATTACTTTTTATATTTACAATTCTTTTAAATTTTATTTATTTTTTTTTACAATTCTTAATAGCTTTGTTTCTCGCTACAGTCAGTTGATTTTTGACGGTTAACTCTTATTAGTAAATTTAGTTTTCTTGAATGTCTAGTAGGAGTCTTAACTTTAGCTTAGACATCATGTGTTAACGAACCAAATCAACTTATGGTTTTACTGAAAAAGTTTAAACAAACTACCCAGCAGAAACCAATTGACAAAGGTACTGTCATTCTATAATAACGTGCAAAAAAATTTGGTAAATTAAAAAATATTGTTCCATGGACAAGCTCCATGAGACCAATCAACAGAATTCTGCCACTACACATTATAAAAGGATTCTCGAAGGCATAATAGAACAGGAGAGCCACCTCACAAAGAAAGCTCAGATGGACAAACAAGCCAGGTCCATTTGATTATCCTGCCCACAAAGCAGCACCTCAGTGAATGCAAATGAGATGTTTTGAAAACTGCATTTTCGAGATGAGTAAGACAAACACACTCAAGAAAGTATCTTTCAAAGAACTGAGGTCACTGCCAGAACAGGAGTATATTTTTATACAAATCAGTCTTATTTCACAGCAGCCTGTGAAATCCAGCCTCTCTAATGACAGTTTGCCTAGACTTTCCTGCTCAGTAAGCAGTTACTGGCTGTAGCAGTGACAGCAGGTGGACCACCAGCATCCTTGTTGGGCACACCAGGTGAGAATGGGATGAAAGATACCGTGCTGTGTCATTACAGTGATTATTTAATGTAACAGAAACAAAACGGGATTCTTTCCCCCAAATTTCTAGTCTCTTTTTTTTCTACCCCCGCACCTTTTTTTTTTTTTTCCCCCATCCTTTAGAACTATAGCCTGGCTTGAAATGAATCATGTCCTTGGAACTTCTAGACATTATAGCTATGAGCCTTCCTCTCAAAAAATAAACTGTGTTTAGTAATCAGATATGTCATTTGGGGATATGGGGAAAGGAAAGAGAATGAGATTGGAAAAAAGACCTAAAATCACATTATACCATTCAGAGATTTAACATTAGCTGTAGTTTTAATATAATTTTTATATCATATAAAATCTCTTACCATTAGTTAAAAAATTTATTAAGTTTTTTTTTTCTCTCTCTATGGTCCCACGGAAGGTTTTCTATGATATTTTAGGCTTTAGATCCTAAACCCCAGGATTATATCTTAAGTAATTATACAATGTAGGAATCTAGGAACTTTTAATACCGTGCTTGCTGGCATGTGGACTTAGGCAGACATTTCGCAGAGCCAAGTAAACAAATACCCCAGCAACCCAATTCCTGCCTGTATATCTGAGGCACACAAATCCACAAGGACACGTGAGTGAGACTTCACTGAAGTACTGTCTGTGGAGGTAGGAAGTGAGAAGCTGGCTAAGTGTCAACTGTTGGGAAATAGGTACATAATAGAGTGAAGATGTACACAATAGGATCCTCTTCAGGGGTAGAAACAATGAACTAGTTATATACACAGGTGCATGGATAAATTCCACAAACAATGAAGGCAGAGAGATCATGACGCATAGGACAAAGCCACCTATGCAATTTAAAAATACATGCACGAAGAACTGCATGAACACACACACGAGTGCATGTAAAACTGGCAAAACCCAAATAAGATCTGTGGATTATATCAATTTCCTGGCTTTGATACTGGACTAGAGTTATACAAGATGTTATCATTGGGGAAACTGGGTAAAGGGTACATGCAACCTCCTAGTACATTTTTTGCAACCACCTATGAATTGATAATTATATTAAAAATTTAAGAAAGTTTTATGCAAAGCAGAAGCAGTATATATAATATACCATGGATTGCATGTAAGAATAAACTTTTCTAACACCATACACAAAAATAAACTCAAAATGGATTAAAGACCTCGATGTAAGGCCAGAAACTATAAAACTCTTAGAGGAAAACATAGTCCAAACACTGTTTGACATAAATCATAGCAAGATCCTCTTTGACCCACCTCCCAGAATACTGGAAATAAAAATAAACAAGTGGGACCTAATTAAACTTAAAAGCTTTTGCACAGCAAAGAAAACTATAAATAAGATGAAAAGACAACCCTCAGAATGGGAGAAACTAATTGCAAATGAAACAACTGACAAAGGATTAGTGTTAAAAATACACAAGCAGCTCACACAGCTCAACACCAGAAAAACAGCCCAATCAAAAAATGGGCAAAAGACCTAAACAGACATTTCTCCAAAGAAGACAAGATAGATGGCCAACAAACACATGAAAAGATGCTCCACATCACTCATTATTAGACAAATGCAAATCAAAACTACAATGAGGTACTGCCTCACACTGGTCAGAATGGCCATCATCAAAAAATCTACAAACAATAAGTGCTGGGGAGGGTGTGGAGAAAAGGGAACCCTCCTGCACTGCTGGGGGGATGTAACTGATACAGTCACTATGGAGACACATGTACTCCCATGTTCACTGCAGCACTATTTACGACAGCGAGGACATGGAAACAGCCTAGATGTCCAGCAACAGATGAATGGATAAAGAAGTTGTGGTACATATATACAATGGACTGATACTCAGCCATAAAAAGGAACACATCTGAGTCAGGTCTAGTGAGATGGATGAACCTAGAGCCTGCTCTACAGAGTGAAGTCAGAGAAAAACAAATATTGTATATTTGTGCATACACATGCAATCCAGAACAATGGCAACCATGAACCTATTTGCAGGGCAGGAATAGAGACCCAAACAGAGAACAGACTTGTGGACACAGCAGGGGGAGGAGAAGGTGGGACGAATAGAGTAGCAATGAAACATATATATTACCATATGTAAAACAGATGGCTATTGGAAAGCTCCTGACAGGGAGCTCCACCCGGTACTCTGACGAGGTAGAAGGGTGGGAGGGAGGTTCAAGAGGCAGGGGACATATGCAGACTTACGTATGCTCATGCTGTTGTATATGTTGCTGTGAAACCAACACAACATTCTAAAGCAATTATCCAATTAAGAATAAATTTTGAAAAAGTATATTAAAATATCTGCCTACTTTAAAGTATATATGTTAAGGTAGCAAATACCTAGGGAAATACTTATAATTGTTATATTTGGGAGTGGGGCTGAGAACTTGTATGCTGCTAGGGAGGGTAACTTTTATTCTCTAATACATATCCTTACTTACCATTTTAAAACTACGAACATAGCTATGATAATTAAAACAAAAAATAAAGGCACAAACCCCCCACTCATGTTTTATAGGAACATATGCAAATAAAATTGATATCAAATAAACTAGAGTGGTGGTTTATGTTGGAGGGAGAGGAATTGGAGAAGAGAAAATAGTTTAAAAGGAATAGATTTCAGAAATATTTTCAGAAAAATCTTAACCCTGTGTACTTATATTATTTTGAGTGTGGCTTTCTCTAGAGGGTGGGTGGAAGAGAGATTTCATCACGACAGATGGCCACAGAAATGTACTAAGATTAGTGAAAGGTATTTTGGGAGCATGTTTCAGACAATTGCCAAATAATCCAAATTACTTAGGGAACTGTATAATTTCCCATCAAGAATAGCTAACAGAGAACCTTTACAATAGAAAAATGGAAGTTTAAATATTAGTGGGTTTCTAGTTCCCAAATAAAAGTCGCCATTGGGTGTGTGTGTGACACCTTAAAGGCCAGCCAGGGGGTCCTGAATCCTTGCCCATCAATGAAAACGATGGTAAGGGGGTGCGAGAAGTGGACCTGCATGCCCCCAAGAGTCCCCATACCAGAAGGCATGGAAGCGTCAAAGGTGGTGGTTTCAGAGTTTTGTCCCCAGCACAGTGGAGAGTCTCAACAGTTGTACCCGAACGATACAGTGAGGAGTTTGGCACATAATAAATCACAACTACTAAGCCTGTTGTGCAGTGTCCTTTGCAGGTCCTATTTATAAACAGAAACACAATTCCCTGAATCTGACATACAGGCACTGAACTTAAGCACTCTTTGGAAGAGGGACTGATAAGTGCAAGGTCCCATTTCCAGTTTTCTTTGTACACTTGTAATGGTGAAAGGAACAGTTGGTCCTAGAGCCTGAGAGACTCAGGCTTTATGGGCCAAGTGACTTTCCAAACACCAGCAACACCCAAACTGGTATGAAAATGTGAAGAAGCCATCCTTTAAATATATATACCTAAAATTAGACCTCATCCTAGTTATGAGTCAGTGAAGAATTCCCCAACTTCATTTTCCGTTTGATCTTAAGTATGACGGCCAAAGACGAGGCCTAATGCCTTAATATCCAGTGGGAAACTTATTTTCCCTTATCAGGAGACACAGATCAACTTGATCTATCTATTCACAGATAAAAATCTACTGGGAGCTACATGTAAACATTTCAGAGCAATTGCTTTTAGGAAATGACTCACATCACTGCTTTAAAAATTGAGAACTGGGACAAGCACCTTCACTGTGTAAATAACTGTACATGGTGGTTGCCTGTATTTTTAGAGGGAGGGATAGGCTTGAGTCAGGCATCTGGGCATACCATGGAGGCCAGGGAGGCCTGAGAAGTCATTTTGAGTCTTGAAGGGAAAGCAAAAACAGAAAAGCGGAGAAGGGCACGGGATCAGGAGGCTGTAGAGAAGGCTGGTGGGGCCGGGAAAGGCAGCAGGAAGGGAGAATGCCAGGGGAAGAGGGAGGGAGCAGACCCTACTCACCTCCTCCCAGCATGGTCCCTTTGCCTGGGAGGCTGGTCGGGGTCTGCCGGCTCCCTGCACGGGCATCCCAGCTTTGATTCTGACACCCTCAATCTCCTTTCCTCACCTGAAACCTGCGTGTACCCACCAGGCAGCCTCACTGAGTCAGCCCTGCTCTCTGAGATACTTGACGACCTCTGTAACAGAGTTCCTCAACCTGCTTTTAAGTATACCTAATTTCTGGGTGAATCTGATTTGGGCAAATCTCTTTAGTGTTCCCTGTTTTCTTCACCTTGAACATTATTATTGTATTTTGAATTTTCTGTTTTTTTGAAAGACACTTTTTCCTTTTCAAGCAACCTTTTTAGCTTTCTGTATTCTTGACTCAGCACCCTTCATTTGATAACCATTTAATCTAGATGCTGTCAACATGTTCAGCACACTTCAAAATTCTTGTAAATCACTGGCTTTTCAAACTGAAAAGTTTTTTCAATTCTGTTTTTCTCGACAGGTGTGATGTATTTATCCTGCAGTAGACTAAGTGCTTTGGCAAGTTTCTGAAGCTTCAAGTTTGCAGTCTCTCGGCAGGATGCTAAATTTCATTGTGGGGTGACTGCTATTATATCCATAGATCAAAGGATCCTCATTCATAAAAGAACATTCCTATGTGATATTACCTACAGAGACATGTTATTTTATTTTTGCTACTGTTAATATTATATGCTATTATTAATACACACACAAGCACATGTACACATCATGGATTTTTCTTCAGTCATCTCCTTGATATTTCTGCTTACCTGGTAGAGATCATTTCTCATGTTGATAATTTCATCAGAAATCAAGCCAGATGTGACTTCCAGCAGATCTCTCACAAGCTGATTATGAAGGTGGATGATTGCCAAGTGTAAGACACTGGAATAAAAATATAGTGGCAATAATCAGCTGAAGTGTTAATGGGGGAAAAAAAAGGAAAACAGGTTCCCACGATAGGATTAGATTTGTGAACTGAATTTGGCTCTCTAGTTTCCTTTGGCGCGCAAATGTCTGGAATCTACGAAACATCCTGAATCCAAGGTGAATGTGCTCTATCACCTGCTCACTTACAGAGCCTGCCTGGTCTCTGGGGGCTCAGTTCAGACTCCCTGACGTGTAAAGGAGCCTGGACTTTGAGGCAGAGATGTCTCCAAGTTCAAATCCTAGCCCTGCCTCTGTGCTATGGTTTCAGGGCGTTTTCTCCTCTAACGTTTCCCTGACTTACCTGGACGCAGACAGATGATATGAGTTAAATTCCTGAACTAGGATTTGTTCAGAAAAATGTAGTTATCTCACCTAGCCCTGCCACCTCTTCCAAAATACAAGGTGGTGGCTTTTTAAGATCTTTCTAGATCCCAAGAGGGGAGAGTGGAGTTAGGCTCTTAACTACAGGAAGAAGACTTGAAGCAAACTTCTGGAGGAAAAATGTGGTTGTATTTCTCCCCTGAATTCTTTCCTCTGCCTGGAATGGTTTTGCTCTTCTTGTCTGCCTCACCAGCGCTTCATCTTTCATGCACCAGTCTAAAACTTACATCCTTGGAGAAGACTTTCTCAGTTTCCAAGGCAGAGCAAGCTGTCCCCCACTCAAGTTTCCTGCTTGGTTGAGCAACTACAGTTTTCTGTACATCCTCTCTCTCTGTCTTCTAAGCCTCTTGTAAGGCTGGGTCAGCCTTACAGCCCTGGCACACAATTTAGGCACTAAAATAAGGATGACCTAACAAACAGGGCTTACAATAATGAGGCTGAAAATATTGGCAGGTGCCAAGCATCACTCCTAGGAACAAAATTTTTTTAATTGTTAAAAAAAATTGACTATTAAAATTAATTGGAAATGACACAAAAAGAACAATGAAAAATGGCTACTATTCGTTTAGAGCTTCTAATACCAGACTACACTAAGCATCTGACAGAGATTATCATATTAATCATAGTCTTACAAGGTAGGTAATATTATCCTTATTTTTGGTGATGAAACTGAGACGTATAGGTAGAACTCAACCCAGATCATATATTAAATCCATGACTGTCTTGCTCCAAAGACATCCCTTAATTCCTTAAGGCCTCCTGCTGCAGGGGCACATGAGCGCTGCTCTGGAGTGGTGGTGAACATCCAGGAGGATGACCCCTCCGAGGTATGGACAGATCACGACGCAGAGCACACCCAGAGGATCCCATGGTGGCAGTACCTACGGGATTTGAGCATAGGCTGCATTTTCTCTAAACATAGCAGGTGTCATTTTATTCAGGCCACTTTCTTGGCAATAGCAGGTGTGTATTACATGGGATTAACACTGACATAGGAGAGCCTGGAAAACTAGACTGTGGCATCATTATTTGAGAGAGACTTAAATGAATTATCTCAGGGTTTCCGTACTGTCTTGAAACCTAGGACTGAAAGAAGACTGATGAAAAGGTCCTGAAGTCTGATGCAGACATGATGTACATATACCAAGAAAAAGGTCGTACTTCAAAATCTGCCTAAAAATTTCCATGTGTAGCTCAGCATTTCATAGCAGAAGTACATTCCCCCTCCCCCATAAATTTTCACACCCTCATGGGAATTTCCCCAGTACCAGAAGTTTTTATTATTTTTTCTCATTGTATTTTCTGTGATGACTAATGGCCACAGGATTCGGATTAATAGCCGAATATAATAAGCTCAGTGAAAACAAGGGACCTGAGCTATGAAGGCTCAAAGCTATTCCTGTCTGCATTCTTATGAGGACTCTTCCTCGGTTTCCCCCAGTCTCACCTCTCTGGCTTCCAGCTGCGGCATGAGAATATTTGGGGACCTGGGAGGGGACTCTGAGGATTCACTTGCTTAGAAGTGCCTGGGCAGGGAAGGCTTCCTCCGCAGCCTCTCCATATATATTCCAGGTCCTCACATATGTTCATACCTTCGCCTCCATACCCCCACTTGGATGTGTGTGCCTGTATCCCTTTCCACAATCCTCCCTTCAGACACCCGCGGTCCCTAAGAACGTCATCTGAAATACTGCTGTCCTGTCCTGCTTAACTGCTTTCTCTTGTGGTTCTATGCTACTGGATGCTAACTGGATTGTTTAATCCTGTAAAACACGTTCTGCTGCTGATGACATTACAGACTGTGCTGGTTCCTCCCCTACTGTATAACAAGGCCAGTGGTTACACCACATCCTTGGTTACACTGCAAGGAATGAGAACAAAGGTCTCTCTTTGAAACCCCGAGGCTGGCACTTTCCTAAAGCATTTGGTTCAGTGTTTAAGAGACAGCACCCATGAGCTCTTCCAGAGAGAAGGATTTCTCACTGTTGATGCTATTTTGGGGAAGGTTTTGAACAAACCACTTGACTTGGACTTGAGCGCTGCTGTCGCTTGCTATTTTTATAGGCTTTTGAGATTATTTTAGAAGTCTCAGTGAAAGGAAGAGGAGAACTGTTTTAGAAAGATGCCAGGTGTCCCGGCACATATGAGCTCTGTAACCCCAGAAGTGGGAAGCATGGTGGTGGAATGGTAGATTCCCACACCACATGGGCGAGAGCAGTCAGAAGAGTCTGGTCCAGTCACAGACTGGTGACCATTAACACAGGCAGTAGAGAAGGAACTGTTAACTGGGAGAGAATGATGACGGCCTGTTAATCATTTTGTCATTGTTGCTCTCGAGCTATCTCTGTTGGGCTTTTCCTGGAGATTACTGTTATCACAGGTATGCAGTTGGGATAATAAGCACTTTAGACATTTGGCAAGACCAAACTTTATTATGTTATTCCAATAAACAAATATTATTATTCCAATAAACAAAATGTTTACTAGATATTATTCTAAATCTTATTCCAATAAATGAAGCAGGGCTTTTCAAAGAGTACCATTCCCCATCTCGGTTTTCTAACCCAGAGTGTTGTACTCTTATATGAGTAACCAGCTATTTTAGAACTCAACAGGTGGGAACCACAGGATAGAGAAGCAGATCACACCACTTAGCCTTACTGATGCATTCTTTTTCTTGAGGGAATGCTTCAGTTGCAGGATCCAGTGACTTTAATCAATTCGTCTCATCTCTAGCCAGCATGCACACAATTCTTTTCTCTCTTTGCCCCTTTAAAACGCCTTGTTTACAAAAGTCCTGACTTACCTGTCCCCGTTCTCATCCTGCACGGCAGTGAGATGGCGCTGGACCGCCAGCAGCATCTTCACGTCTCCTGTCACTGCGTAGTCAAAGAGGGCGTTGGCGTGCTGCTTGGCCAGCTGCATGGCCTTCTCCAGAAAGAGGTTATCTGCAAGGCAATGATCACAGTCACAGTTGAGTTTCCTGTACTTGCTCTATGGGAATGGCATGCTTGAGGCCAACACCATCAGCATCTGACCCTGAGACACATCGATTTAGTGGAAAATGCTCCTTTCAGGGGCTTCCCCAGAGTAGTGTGAGTGGCAGAATCCACCTGCCGACCCCAGGAGACACAAGTTCGATCCCTTGGCTGGGAAGATTCCCTGGAAGTGGAAATGGCTATACACTCCAGTACTTTTTCCTGGAGAATCCCATGGGCAGAGGAGACTGGCAGGCTACAGTCCATGGGGTCGCAAAGAGTCGGATGAGACTGAGTGAGCATGCGTGCACACACCTGTCAGTGCTTTTGGATCATGTTCACTGCGGAAAGCACAGGTGGATGCTGGCTCACTGACAAATATAGAGGTTGATCTCAAAAAACCTGTCTACAATTTTTTTGGGGGAAAGAAATTCAGAAGTCTGTTACTTTAAGGGGAATAATCAATCTCCAAATAATGCTCACTGGATTTTGCCACAATTGTAAATAATCAATCTCTTGGGGAAATAATCCTTCACTGGAATCTTACATGACTCTCTGGTTCAGCAGGAAGTGTCAAAAATCAGTCTCTGCCACAGACAGACAGACTCTATGAGCCACTGGTGTTTCTGTGTTAGGTCTTTAATTTCATCATCTGTGACTTTGTTTTACTAATTTTTATTGGGGTATAGTTGCTTTACAGCCATTGGTGTTCTTGTAAACTTTGCTTCCGGAAGGTCAGTGGGAGGAAACTTGTGGCTTGCCAGCCAAATCCTGTGTGTGGCCTGTTTTTTTGACCTCCTAGCTAAGCATGGTGTGTACATTTATTTAAAAAAGAAAAAAAACATGCAACAGAAACCCTATGTAGCCCCCAATTCTACTTATTAACTATCTCTTACAGAAAAAGTCTTCCAAGCATAATCTGGGATGACCTAGACTCGTGACACATACCCTAATGGGTTCCAAATATGCACTGTCCCTCCTAATTCTCCAAGGAAGGCAGTGACATAAAGGGGAAAGTTCTTATTTTCAGGCAAAGTTCCACCTCAGTGTGACAGTCAAGCTACAATCAGAGAAGGGAGGCTGTCAAAATTATGCAAACTGCTCTCTATTGTCTGTGGTGGAAATGATTTAGATTATCTCTCCTGATACCCTAAAACTGCATGACATGACTGGAGAAGCATATGTAGATGTCTGTACTTTATACTCAGAGATAACACTGGGCAAATGGAAACCCCAGTGTGAATAAAACAACCCGGCACAGACTTTTCAAAAGGCATACGGGGCTCTGAAGAGCACACGGAACCAGATGTGGATGTGTCATCTTTAGTCCTTAGGTCAACAAGATAAACCTGTCTTCTGGAAACAGGTTCTCCACCCAGACCTGACCCGGCCCTCCCCAGCCAGCACCACGCAGTCCCCCGTCCTGCACGGCTCACCCTGGAAGCTGCAGTTCTCTTCTCTTACTCCTACCGAGCACGTCAGGTTAGCCTCAGTGCCCCCCTTGCAGGACTCTCCATCTTGTTCTGTGGTTTCTGTTACTTGCTCGGAGAGATTTACAACCTCTCTGTCATCACTCTTGCCACAACTTTCAGGGTCATTTTTAGATGGGGTGTCTATGGTTCCTAAGATAAAAGCCAGAAAAAAAATCAGCCTTTTCTCAGTAAAATCTATTCAGTTATAATTCACTGTTTCAGCAAAGGTCAGCTAAAGGTAGAGGCAGGCTTACTGCAAAGGGAAAAAAACAGTTAATTTAAAATTCCTTTTAAAAGGATCTGTTTGCCAGGATATGTTAACACCTACAATTTCACTAACTGTTGACGTTATTTTCTATTGAAATTGTGGGACCTAGGGAGCTATTTGCTCCTTTTGTTTATTTTCATTCTTATTTTCCTGAAGAAAGAAACTTTGTATAGCCTTCAGTGCAAAGACTTCAGAGCCATTCTTTGTATTATAGTTGGTTGCCTCTTGGCTGTATAACTTCTGAGTGCAAATCATTGAGCTCTTTAACACGGTATTGCAGAGAATAAATCATAATGGGTAAAAATTGTTCAAAAAATGGTCATAAGTAAACCATTTTGAAGCTACTTTAAAGTCACTTCCAAAAAACTTTTTTTTAAATTGAGGTGTAATTGACATATAACATTGTAATAATTTTAGGTATACAGGATAATGACTATTTATATATGTTGCAAAATGATCATTACAACACATCTAGTTTAACATCTATCAGCATATATAGTTACAAATTCTTGTGATGAGAACTTTAAGAGCTTAAAAAACATATTTTTACATTTCTAAAAATGTACATCTTATCCTGTTTATTTGGAAAGGAGGAAAATGAAGTAAAGCTCTTCTAGGAATTACAAGGAAGTGGCATTTTAAAAATTCTTGAAAGCAGAGCAGCTATTTCCCCCCACCCAGTGCTCAAGCAGATTGTGAAGATGTGGTCTCAATTCACATTCTTCACTGTGGGAGCTATCCTGTGCAGTTGCTGATCATCCTCATTGAGGTCCTACTATACTATCTGACAGCTACTATGAGAGCACTGAGGTTTTACAGGCAGACCTGGTTCAAATTCTGGTTCTGCCACTAACAAATATGTACCTTCAGTGAGTGAACAGTCATCTGTGAACCTTGATGTGCTCTCTCTATAAAAACGGAGAAACTAATATTTTCCTTACAGTGGAATCAAGATGATTAAAACATGTAAAAGTATCTGACATGAAACAGGTGTTGAACACATGAGAAGGCCTTTTTGTATTCTTTTTTCAATAGGTACACTGGAATGGTACATTGAAGAATTGATGCCTTTGATCTGTGATGCTGGAAAAGACTCCCTGAGATTCCCTTGGACTGCAAGGAGATCAACCAGTCAATCTTAAGGAAAATCAGCCCTGAATACCTGTTGGAAGGACTGATGCTGAAGCTGAAACTTCAGTATTTTGGTCATTTGATGCAAACAGCCGACTCATTGGAAAAGGCCCTGATGCTAGGAAAGGTTGAGGGCAGAAGAGGGTGTCAGAGGATGAGATGGCTGGAAGGTATCACCAATGCAATGGACATGAACTTGGGCAAATTTTGGGAGATGATGAGGGACAGGGAAGCCTGGTGTGCTGCAGTTCATGGGGTTGCAAAGAGTCTGACACGACTGGGCAAATGAACAGCAATAACACTGGAATGGACATGTAGTATGAAGCATAAACACATGAACAACTGCTAATTAGAGGGTACATTTGATGAGGAAAGACCATGTCTATAAAATTCTAAATGTCTCAAAAGTGTAGTATTTGATAAAAAAAAAGAATAGGTAAGTTTGGTGACTTAATGTTTGAACAATCAAATCTCTCTATGCTCCTTTCTAATGTTTTTTTTCTTTCCCCTGTTCACGCCACGTACAAAGTATAAATATAAACAGAGTATCAGGAATAGAATTTCTACTGTCCACAGGAAATACTAGTTTTGGGGAAAGAAGTTATTGTCTTAATTTATTTGCATTTATCAATTTTTTTCAAGATAATGTTGTGTAAGTAATGACTGGAAAAAAAAAAAGTGCTACTTACCATGCTTCATCCCAGCGTTAGATTTAGTGGTTCCAGGATGGAAGGTAATTCCACCATACGTGGGGAATCCATAGTGGGGGAAGCCATACCCTGAAATGGCAGATGTAACAAATGAAACCTCATGACAATTTTTTTAAAAAGGCCTCAGCAAACCTCAGTGTCCCTCCGTCAGGTAAGCACAGGCTCCGGTGTGCCTGACACATTGCTTCTGTTGTGAGTTAGTAAGATGCATCACGTCACGGGGGGGTCGTGGGATCATGAACATTCCATCCTGGCCAGGCTGACAGTCTGGCCACTTGGGCAGAAGCCAGGCTCTGGGCAGTGTGCGGGAGCTCACATCTGTCTCCCACTCCTGCATGGTGGGGAGAGCCGAACGGCGAGGGGCTGCCACCCAGACTCGGACTGGCTCACACACACAGTGGACTAACCTCTGGAGAGAGAAAACCGAGCCAAACCAAATACATATCCTGACCCCTCAACAGAAACACGCCCCCACTGGTCACTCTCATGCATGTTTTGGTGGAGGCATAAGCTGGTAAAACTCTTTGGGGTAGCAGTGGGTATCAATCATACTCTGTGACATCGTAATTTCACTTCAAAGAATTGAATTTACAGAAATAAACTGGAATAAAAGAAAAGCAATGTGGATAGCGGAGTTTAGTGCATTTTATATAAAAAAAATAGGAAACAATGTTCAAGTAATTTATACTATGGTTTGTTCACTTGATGAAATATTATGAATCATTAAAATGATGCTTAAAAATTATGCTGATGTAAAATTTATATAACCATGGAGAATGCTTATGTTAAACTGTTAGGAAAAAACAGTATACATAACTCTATACACAATCATGTGAGAATAATGAGTAAGTCATATGACTAAATGGATTAAAATAATATAAACAATGAGGAACACAGCTGTGCTTGGAGAAATGTATAAATATATATTATAATGTATATACACAAAAAATTAAGTAGCTAATCTATGATGGCAGGATTTTATATATTTTCAACTTTTCTATAGTATAGCATAAATATAAAATGAAACCTTTTCAACATTTCCAAAGAATACCAAGATAACTGTATCTGCCTCCTCTGCCCCCACCAAAAAAATACGAGGTGGTATATACCAAAATGTTAAGAGGTATTCTTTGGATAACTGACTTCAAGACTTTTTTTTCTTACAGGTTTTGGTATTATCTATCTACATATTCGCAAAGAGCCAGACATGACTAAGCGACTGAACTGAACTGAACCGATCTACATATTATAAATTGAACATGTGTTTCTTTGAAAAAAAGTTTACTGGGAAATTTTCCCTTTTTTGCCATGCTGCACTGCACGCAGTTTACTCCGACCGGGGGTCAAACCCATGCCTCCTGCGGGGGAGCATGGAGTCTCAACACTGGACTGCCAGGGAAGTCCTGGGAAATTTTAATGAATATTAATATATCATGTTCAATGGATTTCCCTGGTGGTTCAGCAGTAAAGAAATCTGCCTGCCAATGCAGGAGACATGGGTTCAGTCCCTGGGTGGGGAAGATGCCCTGGAGAAGGAAATGGCAACCCACTCCAGTGTTCTTGCCTGGAGAACCCCATGGACAGAGGAGCCTGGAGGGCTACAGTCTATAGGATCATAGAAGAGTCGGACACGACTTAGACCCTAAACAGTAACAACAATCACATTCAGTAATGTCACAAGTACTCAATGCACAGACAAGGGAATCTAGGAGAAGGAAATCCACCCTCTCTGACGTGAAAGAACAGCCCTGGCTCATACCTGGGCCGGCACTCCCAGCGCCCCCACCTCCACCACCGCTGCCAAACATGCCCCCGCCTCCAGCTCCAGCGCCGCTACCACCGCCAAAACTGTCCGAGAAATTGGGCATCAGCTTCTGTCGTTTCCTCTGCACTTCCTCTTTATCTGCATTTAAAGGAAGGGAAACCAAAGGAGAAGAGATTGATTCAGTTCCACTACTAGCCACAGAAAGAATATTGATTCTGATGGTATTTTTAAACATCCTAAAGGGAAACAGAAAACACCCAAGGAGGAAGAGATGCCAAATTTCAAGAAGCATTATATTTATTCCAATGAATACGAAGACCAAGAACTAGCCTCAGAGAGACCACAGAACAGTACACACCCAATTCTCTCTGGAATGGATCAAGTCCCCCATGTCACTCAAGTTAGTGAGACACTAGACTGCCCATCAAAGGTGAAGATACTGAAAAAACTGAATGAGAAGAACACTACTGAGCATTTTCACATGGTCATACAGAGCAACTGTCACTAAGCAGCCAACATTTATTATGCATCTACAGTGAGCTAAGTGCTGTGGATAAAGAGAAGTATGACATCATGTCCTTGCTGTCAAGAACCCGCCAATATAATTTTAAGGTTTAGGGGAAAGACAGAGAGGACATGATAATACTATATATGTTAAATTCATGGTGCCAACTAGGGTTCCAGGAGTTTATGGGAAGACTTTGAGGGAGTACCATGAGCTGGAAATTCAGGGAAGGCTTCCAGAATCAACCTTCCATTAGAAGGGGGCAAAGGGAAGATGCTCTGGGGAGGGGATGCAGAGAGAAAGAAACAAAGGAACCAATGTACGCTGCATGCTTACGAGAACAGCAGGGCATCAGTTTAGCTGAAGTGGAAGTTTTCTATCATGAATTGGTGAGAATCAGGGCTGAATGGGACCACACTGTCAAGCCCCTGGACTGTGAACCTAAGGGGTTTAATTGACAGGCAGGAGAGCCATGCACTGTTTCTGAACTGGGGACGCCTTGTACAGGGTGGTGTTTCAGGAAGGTCTGTCACCGGTGCATAGGTGAGAAGCAGAGACAGCACAGACAGAAAGTGACAGAAGCTGTTTCTCCGTGGTCACCATGAGAATAAAAATGGGTGGATCCCGCAAAGACAACAAGAGAGGGATTTGCAGCCGTTGGTGACTCATGAAATATGTGAGGCTAAAAAGTTTAAGACCACTAATTGACTAAAATACAGCGATGCCCGCTGAGATTTTTGACAGTCCAGCTCTAGATACTATTTAGACCTTTCCCCCTCATTCCTTATGTGATCGCTCTATTTTTCTTTCGCTTCTCACCAGCCCCATGGCCCCTCTGAGTTCTGCCAGCGCCTTTGTGGTCTATAGTTGCATTCTTGTTTCTTCTTTCTGTTTCCCTTTCTTTACCTTCTCTGATTTTCCCACCATACTTTTTTTCTCCCTTCTCTCTTTTGAAACAAAGGAGTGAAGAAGCTGTTTGGGTTTTGTTTAATAGGGTATTCTTTTTTTCTTCAGTCAGCAGCGCAGTACTTAACAACTGTCCTGTTTCTGGTTCTTCAGGTCAGTTCTGGTCATTGTTTATGTTCAGAAAGATCTTCAAAATTTCTAATTCTGTGGTTGTTTCAGCCGTCTCAGGGCTAGGAAGAATGCTGTTGTTTACTGATTATCTCGTGAACATCTAAGGGCAGTTGAAAGATGAAGCAGGGGAAAGTACGGTAGCAAAGTACACTTAAAAAAATCATCTTTTAAAAACAAATCCTGTTCAGATTCAGGAAAACAAAAGCCAGCATGGGTCAACTTTGACGAAAACATGCTCCCACTAGAAAAGGGTGACTTCAAAGTGGAGAAACTTAAAGCAATTTCCTCAACAAAAGGCTTTGGACAGATTTACAAAATTTCTCCATGGAGAAATTTGTATCATGACTAACAGTCATAATTATTACTCATCCTGTAAACTGTTGATCTTACATGAGACATTAGTTCATCAATAATATGAAATATAAGAGCAAACCAGACAACACATTCATCTTCAGAAATAAATATTATCCACTGACATGCTTTCTAGCAAAGAGATCATTTGGTATTTGCTATATATTCCTTTTGACTTTTAAAACAGAGATATTCACCAGTTACATTCATTGTAAAATGGGAACTTTTAAGAGTCAATTTAAAAAATAATAACTATCCTACAGTCATTAAGATGCCAATGACAAGAAATAGATAAACTCCACAACAAGCTTTTTTAAAATAAAACAACCTGTGGTCTGAATTTCCATGGAAGTGAACATGGGGACTTTCATGCTGGGTTCACTCATCCTTGTGGTCTATTTTCAATGGTGGACCATGGGATGTACTATGAAACATCAACCTATTCTAAAAGGGCTCAATACAAGCTCTTCTGTGCAGAAGAGGAAACTGAAGCTAGGATGTTAAAGGACTTGTATGAGGTCAGGGAAAGAGTGAAGATCAGATACAAGGTGTATTGAGCAGTCCATTATGTCATCACTTTTTGGGAAACACTCTTAACGCATCTTCACTTCCTTTAATAAAGGATGCCTTAAGATAACAGCTTAGTTCACAAAATGTCAATACACCTTTTAGCCTCTACCACCTTTTGCTCTGCATGTGCCTTAAAAGTACCTCATTCTTGCTTTCCAGGTTCTAGTTTGCTAGTAAAGAAAGATGTCTGCATTCATCCCGACCACACCTTTCGTAATTGGAAGATTACAATTCTAGTTCTTCCTAGTCGCCATCTTTTCAGACTGAGAAGTCATTATGGTCTCTCCTTGCTTTTGTACAACTGCGCCTCAACTATCTTCTTCCCTTGCCAACCATCCCTCTCTTGATTATTTTGATTGTTTCCTTGGACCCGACCACCTCCATGACACTTTAATGAGACACAGTGTCAGTGGCCATAAAGGATGTAGAGTTTAGGACTGGATGACTGTCTGCAACAAGTGGAGTATTACATACTGCTTTGTCTAATGTCCTACTTGGTGGCACCCAACAAGTTACTAGTGTTTTGAATAAGGATAGCAACTGAGTGGGTCAATCAGTAACTTAGGTCTCAGATCTTTAGTAAGCATCTTCTGTGTGACATACATTGTTTGAGATGTAGCAATAAACACGAAAGACCAAATCTGTGATCTCAAGAACGTTCTTCCTACTAGAAGTACAAATAAGACAACAGACACATAAATTAATAGGTAAGATAATTTTACATATTGATAAAAATAAGTGAAGAATATGAAACAAGGCAATGAGATAGGGAGTGACTCCAGGAGCTGGGGGCAGTGGAAGGTATGTTCAATGACTTCTGAGAAATGAAGACAGTGATTCTTTGGGTTGCACAGTTTGGATTCGTTTCCATATAGTTACTCTGATGCTAAGTGACCTGCTACTTTTCTGGCCAGTCACAGGTCTGGTGTGATTATTTCCCCTTGTGATTATTTCAACTTGGTATTTTATAATCCAGAAGGTTTTATAGACTAAGGTAAGTTGTTATCTTCAATAAAAAAGTTCTAATCTTACAACAGGGCTTCCCAGGTGTTGGCAGTGTTAAAGAACCTGCCTGCCAATGCAGGAGACACAAGAGATGTGGATTCAATCCCTGGGTTGGGAAGATCCCCTGCAGGAGGGCCTGGCAACCCACTCCAGTATTCTCACCTGAAGAATCCCATGGATGGAAGAGCCTGGCGGGCTACAGACCATGGGGTCTTAAAGAGTCAAAAACAACTGAAGTGACTCAGACCACGCACATAATTTCACAACTCAATCCTGGTACGTGTTGGCCATTCTTTCTGTGGAGCTCAACTATTAATTCTTATTTTTCCAGGTGGCTCTTTTTATACTATTTGTATAGATGGGGTTTTTAGTCAGTGATAGCCTGGAAGGTAAGTGCTTCTTGCATAGAGGTGAAGTTTTGAACTTTCAGGAGACCCCAACCCAAGACAGCTCCTACTATAATAGAGTAGCAACGAGAGTAATAGTCTGATGTACCCCTGCTGTATCCATACACAGATACCACTGGGACTCAGGCAGCCTAGAAACCAAGTTCAGCTTTGAATATTTCTAGGCTCATACATGGGTAGGTAATCTGAGTTGCCTTTATTTAACCAACTCTCTGTATTAGAAAAATTGACATTAATTTGAAAATGTTGTAAGAGAATAAATCTATTTTTTTTCCCCCTCAGAAAGTCCAAAAAATTTGCCCTGTTTCTGTTTTGTGTCTACTTTTATAGAAGGATGTTAATCCAAAGCGGGGAAGTGACCACTCCTGGGGAAGCCAAGTGGGCAGGGCTTGCCACCTCATTTTACACAGAGCTGCTCAGCTTTATACACTGGAATTTCACATGAAACTTCATGTGGAGAGAAAAAAGTCTCCTCTGCTGACAGTGTTTTCAAACCATCAACAAAATGCACTGTGAACCTGACCCACCCGTGGAGATGTCACAAGCTCAGAAAAGAAACAAGAATGCACAGAACCATTTTCTAGATGCTCCTGCCACAACACGAATTCTAGGAAAAGCAAGCCCTCTTAGAAGACCAGCCATCGCAGGCTGCTGTCACAGGATCAGCAGGCATGTGCACGGCTGCCATGGCACCTTCGCGGGTTCTAGCCTCAGCCAGGACCTGGGTGCCTTGCCCTCCCCACTCTCACTTCCCCCTAGTCCAGGGCCTTCTAATTTTGTCTGTGCCACAGCTTCTTTTGCAGCCTGGATCTCTTCTTAGGATCATGGTTTTCAGTATGTAAAATACAAAATAGGATCACAAAGAAACCCAATTGTTTTAAAGTACATTTCTAGCCATGGACCTGCAGAGGAGTCAGTGGACTCCAGGTTAACAAATACTTTTGGGGCCTGTTATACTCATCTTGAGAGGATTCTCATGGCTGCATTTCCCATTCTGCCCGCTTGGATTCCAGTCCTGTCTTTCGAATGGCCTATTAGGAATCTGCCACAGGAACTTAAAATGCAACATGATTTAAACTGACCTCTGCCTTTGCCCACCCAAATCTACTTCTGCTCCACTGATCCTTCATCAATTCATCCACCTCACAATCTTCCCAGGTGAGGATTCCTAGGGTCATCTATGACTCCTGATTTTCTCCTTCACTTCTTACCCCAACCAACAGCTGGGTCCTCCTGACATCATCACTGCACTGCCTCATGGATCTACCTTCTCCTTTCACACCACTGCACTAAGAGCTTCACTAACCTCACCCTTTCTTACTCGGATTCTTGCATTATTCTTCTGACTCACTGCTGCCCAGACAGTCTCTTCAGGGTCTATGTAGAGAAGGCAGAGGCATCATTCTAAATCTAAACTGGCCTGGTCCTTCCTGTTTCCAGTTTCAAAGCACAATTCTGTAGGCTCCAGTCATAGCACCCCAGAGCCTGGCCCTGCCTTCCTGTCCTCCTTCAAGAGTCCCTCTGGGTGCGCCTGAGCCTCACTTTTCTCTGAACATACACTAACTGTTCCTAAGCCAGGGGAACCCTTTCCTTCTCTGCGGCACACTCAACCACTGAAAGACATGCACAACTTTCATGACCTTGAAGAAGCTTTCTTCTTGTGGCTTCTTCAGAATCTAGGGTTCTCTCTCCTTGGCATTATCCTATGTTTTCGCGGCTGTTTTACTTTCAGAATTACCAAAATAATAATTTGCATTATAACAATTTAAGGAGACTATTTTCTCTCCTTCTTGGTGCATCCTTTGTGAGGAATAGAGTTCTGCCTTTTCATTTGTATGGCTCTGCACTGCACGGTGGCTGAGTCTTCTGCTCAACTGCGTGAGGCCAGCGGCTGATTCTCCTAGACAGCAAGCCTTATGTTTTCATCTCAACTGCCTGACCCCCAAGTTATTCAATAAATGATAGACTCTCAAATTCAAAGAGAAACTTTAAATGCTCAACCTCATATAAAACTTGGTGGAAACATTACCCTAAAATCATATATTCCTTCTTTCGTCTCTAAAAAGAAGTACCATGGACCCTCGAACCAGTTACTAAGGAAGCTGGTCAAAGAGCGTGACTGCCTGACCTTTTCTCAACAGCCTGGCTTCTTGTTAGAACAAGTGCAAGTTTTAAACAACCGAGTTACCTTTGATTTCAGGATAGTAGAGGAAAGGTTTTGGTTCGCTAGTTTCCAAATCAGATTTCCTCCGAAGCTGGACGAACACAGAGGCTGGTTTTGTAATGTTGACATCTTTATACTTTGGAGTTTTGAAGACAATGGCAAACTGCAGGATACAAAGATCCAAATGTTGGAGTAGGACTACATTTCTTTTACAGCAGTGGTACTCATTAAATACATTCTTTATGCCCAATGCTTAGACACAGTGTATTAAAAAAATACAATGCCCTAGAGAAAGTTACAACCTTGGAATTCTATACCCATATATTTTTATTCTATTGCCAATGTGAAATTAAAATATAAGATTATGCCAATGTACTGCAAATCCTCATCAGTTCACTCATCTAAAGTTTCAAATATCTTTCAGTGTAAATAACCATGTGAATAAAATACATTGCATACATCCACTTTCCCAAATTAGCCTTAAAAGCCTCCAGGATTATTTACTGCAATATCATAAAGATATAATGGAAAGAGAGAGAGGAGGATGGTTGGTACCATTGCGGGCCTCCTGGCCAGCCAACAACCACAGCAAAAAGCTAAACCCTTAAGGGAGACACAGTGACAGGGTCAGCATACTGTGAGGGGAGGATGGCCAAGGCTCTAGACATATACAGGCATCTGTAACGCCTCTAAGACAGCCTCCTTGGTGTCTGCTAGTATAATAAGCAGATTTAGTTTTTTTTTAATTTCACCCACAAAATTAATGTTTAATCTAACAGTTATGCACAGAACCTTCCAGAGTTTCTTTATGCTATGTAAACATGAACACAGAATCTTTTTTATATACACTTTGTTTCATATCTATCTTTTAAAAAATTTCAGTATCTTTGAGATCTTTCCTTGTTAGTCTGTATTCATTCTTTTTTTAGTAATTGTACAATATCCCCTCACATTTACTTAACTGACCACTAACTGATGGACATTTGGATTGTTTCCATTTTGTGTGTGTGTGTGTGAAAATTGTATTCCTCAATCACTGAGAGTAATTGTTAAGATGAGGATTCAGCATTTTCATCTCTTTGTCATATACTTAATTGTTCCTGGGAGATCTTGATTTATCATGATGATATCAGCCTCAACTAGAAGAATCCTCCTGTCAACACTTTTCATTAGAATACCCTTTTAACAGCTCTCCTCGTGTTACTCTGGGAGAATACCATTACAGACTAATTGTGTTTCCCCCAAAGTCGTATGGTGAAGCCCCCGTAGTGTGGCTGTATTTGGAGATATGGCCTTTATGGAAATAAGTAAGGTTAAATGACATCATAAGGGTAAGGCCCTGATTGGACAGGATTAGTGGTCTTAAAAGAAGAGGCGCCAAAAAAGGGAAAAATAAAAAGAAAAGACACCAGAGGGCTTCTTCTCTCTCTGCCATGTTAGGACATAACAAGAAGGTGGCTGTCTGCCAACTAGGGAGAGAGCCCTCATCAGGAACCAACCCTGTCAGACCTTGATCTGGGACTTATAGGCTTCAGAACCATAAGCAAAAGACTGCTTATCTTTTATTCACTCAGTCTATCATATTTTGTTATCAGTCTGAACAGACGAGTGAAATATGCAACACATTTCTACTTACGGGTTTGAGGGTCACTGGCTTGCATCTAGGTGACCACATACCTGACAGCATAATTCTATGGTAGGTAACTTTTCTGGAACACTTCCAAGACACAGTGCTCTTTGATGAAAGTTACATAAATATTTATCATTTTTTCTTTTTTTATACTTGGAATCTAAGTACTGAATTTCAACAAGGCAGAAAACATAGTATCATCTTCCTTGCCATCCACTTACTTATCGCCCTTATCATCACCCACTTACTTGTCTGTGAACATCCGTGGGGGAAAAATCTCCAAATCCTTCCCAAATTCCACCGTTTTCCTCCTCTTCGTAAAATCGAATCTGGATGTCATCTGTAAACAGTCATGTTCAGGTGTATAATTTCACACAGTATAATAACATTCATAAATGTGATGAAAAATAAAGCTGGTTCAAGAGTCCACCTGCTATGTACTTAACCTTTTATGAAAGTAATTCATATAAAATAGACTTCTGAATTACTTAAAATTTTTAGTAAAATTTTTTTGTTACCATAGTAACGGGCCCCAAGTTTCATTTATAAGGACAGAATTCTAGATTTACCTATTCAATCTGAGTTTTCTCTTAATCAATCTTTGAATAACTTCTCCATCCCTAAGCCAGTTCACCCTCCAGGAACATGAAAGTTAGTGAAGAATATTAGAATCCCAAAAGGTGGTTCACCTTGATACAGATTTACGTAATAAAATTTAACTTAAAGTTTACTATTTGGCAGACACTGTTCTAAGTGATTTTATATGCATATATTAACTGATTCCTTCTTCAACTCAGTGATGCAAGTGTACTACTAATATCCTCATGCTGCAGAAGAGAAACTGGAGTTCACAGAGGTTAAGTGACTTATCTAAGGTTGAACAGCTAGTCAGGAGAGACCAGGATTTGAACATGGACACTGAAGGTTCAGACCCCAGGCTCTTAAACATCCTCCTATGCTACCTCTCTACAATGCTCTAGTAGTTCCTATTGAGAAACCGCTAAAATTACATGTTGGTCTAGTCCCTTTGGGTTAAATTAGAATGTCTTAATTTCACACTTCAGTCATGGATTCTACTCCTGCAGAAATATGACAATATAACTCAGGTTGGCATCTCCCTGGCTTCACTTCCTAATTCACAGGGAGGAGTACACTATTGACTTGCAAAAACTAAATGTACATTTCTATTTAAATAGAATTTTAGAAATATTAGGGTTGAGTAAGACATTCATAGGACTACCCTGGACCTAGTTATTCAGATTCTTTAAACTAGGTATCAAACTTCTCTTAATTAGCCATTTTAATGTAATGATGATGACTAAGAGTCACATTTACAAATAAAGGTACTTAGATTGTGTTTACTCATTGTATGCACACCCAGGAATCCGGAAATGCACATTGCTTGGATAGAACTGGTTAAAAGAAAGCTGATACCAGAATCTGCAGAGAAAGTGTAAACATTCTGGGGACAAAGATATACACCTTTACCTTAAAATCTGATCTCATTTTTTCTGACTTTTTATCTGAGAGCATTCAGCCTCAAAGGAAAATTTTCTTTTTTTAAAGCCATAGTTCTTTAAATAGGAGGTACATTTCCAGTTATACAGCTGCTTGCTCTGAAAATGCTCATCAGAGTAAGCAGCTAGGTAACTGCTTGTAGTGAGTGTATCTTTATTATGGTATACCTTTTATGATTTTATTTTTAAAATGAGTAAAGCTTGAGAAAATAACAATCTCCTGCTTATCCTAACTTATCACTCTTGTGCTATATTTAGTGAGAGATAAATGCCAAGACCTTTTCTGAAAGTGAAAATTATAAGAGAAATATGCTCTGAGAATTTCCTTATAGCCCTTATCCTTTCTTTTTCTTAAATGACATCATAATGCCATGTGAAGATATCCAGAGAAACTCTCAGTGTTGCAACAAAGCACTGTCAGAGAAAAAAATTAACAATTTTACACTATGCAAAACATTTATCATGCGTGTATGTGTAAGTGAAGCATGGGCTATTACTCATTTATTTAAAGTTCACATATCAAAGTTTAAAGCATAAAACACTGAAATATCACTGATTACAATGATCACTATTTTCTTATTTCTCTTTACAATGTGGGAGACCTGGGTTTGATCCCTGGGTTGGGAAGATCCCCTGGAGAAGGGAAAGGCCACCCACTCCAGTATTCTGGCCTGGAGAATTCCACGGACTGTATAGTGCAGGGGGTCGCAAAGATTTGGACACGACTGAGTGACCTTGACTTTCACTTCACTTCTGCTGAAAATTTTAAATGAATTAGTTGGGTTAAGAAATAACATGGACAATTTAATATTGGAAGAGATGAAATGTATAAATTTTTAAAAGGAGTTCTACGCCAGAGGAGAGATGTTACTGGGCTCATTGCCAAAAAGTGACTCATAAACACACTCAGAATTACATTTCACATCTTGAGATCAGAGCATGTATTTACCTTTCTGAACCTTGTCACAGAGAAGATAAATCTCTTCCCCTCCAGTTACACATCCAGCTGTCCTGTCCATTCTTACTATTTTCAAGTTAGACGCATTGGGGGCTTCTGTTCACAGGAGAAAAACAACAAACATCATGATTTATCGTCAGCTTCACACGCTAACCTTCTGTGAGGGACCCTAACCAAAGCATACTTAACCAAAAGGAAGTTCAAATAGATGCTTTCACTCATATTGCTATTACAAAAATATGGATAAAAAGTGCCTTCTGAAATCCTCACAGCGCTGCTTGGGCATGGCTCATTCATTATCCCCAAAATAGATGAGGCAGAAAGGAGCAGTATTCATTTCTCCCACGAACACAGTAAGAGACATTAACAGAGAAAGAGAAAGAACTTTTCTGATGTTTCAGGAAGTTCCAAGCTAAAGGATGTGTGTAATTTCAATTAGGTCAAGACTTCAACCCCAAACTTACATCCATGGTACTGATACACCATTTACAAGAGTCCTAGAAATTTAGGAAAAGTACAGTATTCTGAAACTATTAATTTTTATTCTACAGAAAAGAAAAATGAAGATATTATATTTCCTTTTCCCAACTAAATTAGAATTCTGTGTGGTTAAGAGGTAAAGTTTTGTGTGGTAATAGTATAAAAGCTTCCTTTTTTTTTTTTATTCTAACAGCTGCATTTTAAAGTGATCTTTGGTATAGGAGCCTAAAACATTTTATAAAGCTTTCAGTTCCCTTTAAACCTGTTTAAATTAGAGAAATCAGTTAGTTGTTGTACTTGGGGCATGGAGTTTTCTACTTAGACTAAACTCAATGACCTTTTAATGAGCTTTAATTCTGCCCTTACAGACAGTTTGGAAATATCTATCTGTTTAATAAAGCCCATGCATACCAAATAAGAAATCTGCATGGTAAATGCCAAAGACCACTGTAAAACTCTTTTCAAAAACTCCAGTAACTATTCTATTTCCAGATGGAAATAGAATTTTGAAGCCACAAAATATCAAAGTATCTGTACTGCTCATTTAGTTAACCTGAAGTTCCTAAATGGATAAAGCTGTAACATGCAAGAATGAAAATGGGTAAGTATAAGAGTTATCTTTTATTAACTTCTCTTCAGAGCCCCAACTATTTTTCCCATCTAAGAGCACCAGCAATATAGCCTCATAGTAAAGAATTCATAAATAATAAGAAATTTGGCATTGCATGTAAAAGGCTATAACAAACATGAGGAAGGAGATTTATTGAGCACCTCACCATATTTCACTTTTAATCTTGACATCAACTTTTTAAGCTAGACTTCAGTATTCCTATTTTGCAGATGATAAACATGAGGCTCCAAGGGATTAAGTTACTCTCCCCAGGAACCAGAGCTAGTCAGTAACTGCCAGGGTAGGGATGGAAGTCTGTTCCTGACTTTGCAGCAAGCTGCCTCAGGTCAGCAGTCAAGTACTCACTGCTGTCATAGATGGCGTCCGACACCACGGGTTCCAGACGCCTCGTGAAGCTGCCGGTACTGTCTGGAAGGAAAGCTGTAAACATGAGCCGTACCACGCTGAGGTCCATCTCCTTTGTCTGCTGAAGAGCTGCCTGCCGGATGATTTCTTTTTCCCGATCTAGGACCAGACAACACAAGGTGTTCATGTCCAGGGAAAGGAGAAAAGTATGAATATTTTAGATCAAGTGCTTTTATAAAGCCCCAATTAAGCACATCAAGTTAAAGTAAAAGTCATTTTTCTCTTTTGAAATTCTTCATATTGCTAATAAAATTTTAAGAATTATCTACGTCATCCCAACACAAAGGCATCAGAAGGAGGCAGGCATTGTTTTTGGATCACAGTGAAAACTATCCTGTATGTGACAAATGGCCTCATTCCTTTCCTATCATCCCCTGACCTCTCCCAAGACACAAAGGGTGTGATGGAAATGGAAGGGAGTAGCTGACTATGCCTCAGTTGTGTTGAGGAATGTGAAAATTAAATATTCCAGCAGTGATAAATATATATACACTATCATGTGTAAAACAGAGAGTGGGACGTCCCTAAATAACACAGGGAGCCCAGTCTGGTACTGTGACAATCTAGAGGGGTGAGGGTGGAGGCAGGGGAGACAGGCTCAGGACGGAGGGGATATGCATGTAATGATTTGCACTGGTGTACGGCAGAAACCAACACAAAACTGTAAAGCAATTTTCCACCAATTAAAAAATAAATTTAAACATTTTAAAGGAAATTAAATATCCCCAAAGCCCTATTCATCCCGTAGTGCCCAGCACAGTACCTGGCACATAGCAAGCAGGACTCAAAAACTGCAGTTAAGGAGCCAAATAACTCAACTGCATTTGGCTCCTGTCCCCGTGACGGAGCTTTCTTATTGATGGATGTGACTGTACTTAACTTATAAAATCATAAGAGGTGATAGTTCAAGTGAAGAATATTGCAAAAGAGCTACAGTTGAAGTGATACAAAACCTCAAAGGATGGGAGAATCCAGAGGCTTTGGAGCAGAAGAGACACTGCCCTGAATCTTGAAAGGATGGTAGAACCTGAACTCAGGAAGAGAATGAATAAAAACATCCCAGGAAGAGAAAGGATGTGCCAAGGAGTGGAAGAGAGAAATCATGGTGCTTGTATGGAGCGGTTCAGTTTGACAAGAAGGGGTGTTGTGGGAGACAGTTGGAAATGCAGACTGGGGTCAGCTCTCAGGATGCCTAAAATGCCAGGGTCTGAAATTTGGATTTTGTAGGCAACAGGGAGACCTTGAATAGTGGTGATGTGCAGCCTGTAGTAAGGTCCGTCTGGTCAGAGGACATAAACCAGATTAGAAGGAGCGAGGGACACAGACAGCAACAAAAAATCGGCATGAGGAATGGAACCCCACAGAGCACAGAAGAGCTGGATCACAAACTGGATGGAGAGGCAGCAAAGCTGAGAAGGGGGTCTCAAAGATGACGTGAAGGTTTCGAGGATGAATATCAGAAGATAGAACATGTTTATGGGAAAATGATGACTGCTTTTGGAGCACCTGAGTGTGAACTGATGGCAGGATGGCTAGACGAAAGGACAACACAGAAAAGCAAAAATAGCATGTGTTGTGGGACAAACATTGGGGTTGAAAGAAAAACCACAAGGCAGGAAAATATAATATAGCATTTTTTTATGATAAAGAGGATAGCTGAATAATGTGCCTGAGAGCCCAAAGAAAGGAAGATTCCTTATGACAAGGTGAGCTGGAGGAGTTATAACAAAGGAGGTGTTCTTTGAATCTTGAATTCTGAACTGGTTTTGACAGGTTGAAGAGGGAAGGGTGGTATTTTAGGTAGAGGCAGGAGTGCATCAGTGTTTGAGGGGGTGATGGGAAGAGGTGGGTACCAGGTGGAACCTGAGATAAAGCTGGAAAGGGGGCTGGAGTCAGGCTTCGTATGCTCGGCTACGGCAGTACAGAGGTTGTTCTAGAAGTAGCAAGATGCCATCAGAGGCTTCTGAGCAGTTACAGGGCGGGAGCAGCCTGGGGCACAGATGGAGGGTGAGATGAGCTCCAGGTCTGCACACAGGGGAAGGAGGACCAGAGCGCTCACGGGACCGCGGCTGGGAGGGACACTCACCTGTGAGCTGCCGATCTCCTCCGCCTTCTGCCTGCAGATAGGCAAGATCAGGATGCACCAAAAGCCCGGGATTGTAGCCCCTTATACAGGCATCTGTCATTCGTGCTTCCAGTGTTTCAAACACTTTTTTCTTTGTCACATGAAGTATACCCAGGTTTGCAAAGCTGGAGAAAAAACAGTAACGGCAACAACAACCAAAAGTTAGGCAGACAGAGGCTGGAGTCCTGTTTTACTCTAACAAAGAGGATGGAGAAAACACGCACAGACCCTCAGTCATACTGCTATCACCAGCTGCAGGTCAGGTCAGGCTGGGCTTTGCCACCAAATCAGTCTGTGGTGAACTCAGAAAAATCTTCTGGTTTTCAAAGCTTATTAGACTTGCAAATTGTGATTCAGGGACTGGGGTAGACATACCTTAATGAGAAAGTTTCACCTAAACTCATTTTAAAGTATTTTCTAGGAGAGTTGTATAAAAGGAAATTTAAATTACAGATATACTAACTTAACAAACTTTTAAAAAATAATACATGAAATGCTATATTTGGAAGATTATTTTTTCCTTGTGGATCGTCCTTGGGCCTTGATGGGATTTAAAGTCTACCTAGAACCCCGTCTCCTGGGCTATCTCTAAGGTTGGAATTATTTATGATCACCAGAATGTCTACTCTCCACATGCACTCAGTCTTGAGGTTCACCTTTAATCAGGGAAGGAGAACCTTTTATATGGCAAAGGCTACATATCTATAGAACAAAAATATGCTCATTAAAGCAATTCAAGGAATTTTTAAGAAAATATATGAAGTGCTCCAGCAATTCACTTTTTAAAATAAAGTACGTGAAACAAAGAAGTGTGTTCAATAAATCTAATATAACAAATAGGCTAAAAAAAAAAAAAGTGTACCAAGGAGACTCATTCAAATTCAACAAGTATTTATTTTGCTCTGTAGTGCCAGGCAGTGTCCTGGGTGCTTCTGTCAACAGTAGAGGAATCCCTAATTTCACAGAGTTCATATGCTACTGTAACATCAGAGAGAAAACAAGTGCAACAAAGAGAAAAGAAACAAGTAAGTTTTATAATTTAAAAGGTAAGAAGAGTTACCAAGAAAAACAAAGGAATGGGAAACGGGAAGGGCAGAAGTAGAAGGCCTGACACTTAAAAATTTGGAGACAGGACATGCCTGGTGGTCTGGTGGCCAGGACCCTTTGAGTTCCCAGTGCAGGGGCTCAGGTTCTATCCCGAGTCGGGGAACTAGATCCCACATGCCTAACTAAGAGTTCACATGCTGTGACTACGACTGGACACAGCAAAACAGATATTTCTAAAAATAAAATAAATTTCTAAAAATTAAAAAGTATTTTTTTAAATAGAGAGAGGCCAGAAAGGGCCTCACGAAAAGATGTCAACTGAGCCAAGACTTGGAAGGAAATGAGGGTTGGGACGTGGATATGTAGAAAAAGCATGTCTAAGATGGAAGAACAGCAAGTGCAGAGACCCTGAGGTAGGACCATGGCTGGTGCCCACAAGACAACAATGGCAAGAAGGCCACTGTGGTTGGAGTGCGACAAGCAAGCACTCATCAGCATGTACAGCTGTATGTAAGTTCAGAGAAATAAGCGGGACACAGATCTTTTAAAGTCTTGTAAGCTTCCGTAAGGACTCTTCTTTTTCTCTGGCTTTTACTTGGAAGGGAAAAAAAAATATTAGTAGAGGAAAGACAGAAATATTATGACAACTGGATCAAATGAAATAAAGAATAAGATAATGTTGGAAGGCCAGATAAACTAGACAAAGAAAATATATGAGGTAAAGGCAGAATGAGATGAGCACTCAGATAGAGGCTCAGAGATGAAATGAGACGGGGGTCCACACAGTGATGAAAAAATGTAGGATGGCTGAGACACACAGCGAAAAGAAAATACAAAATATAACCTCCTGGAGAGCAGAGAGATCTGGTGCCAAGAACAGCACTTGACACTGGGTGTTTAAGAAATGTCTGTTGGATGAGTAAACGCAGGAATTAATCCAGCACAGAAAAATATGCACTATGGCAAAATGATAAGTGTGGAGGAACAGTCGGATTTTCAGAAAGAGCACCTCCATATTCTGGCCTGTTAGTCTTTCCTACTATACAGGACATCAGTAACTATGGGAAAACAAGGCTAATGCCAAGGTAACAGCATTGACAAACATGGGGTCGCACTTCACACTTCACCATCCATAAAGGGCTTTTCATGTATATTACCTAATTTAACCCCTGTGAAAAAGACATCATTATCATCACATGAAGTGTCAGTCACTCAAGTCGTGTCCGACCATTTGCGACCCCATGGACTGTAGCCAGCCAGGCTCCTCTCTCCATGGAATTTTCTAGGCAAGAATACTGGAGTGGGTTGCCATTTCCTTCTCCAGGATTATTACATGAATAATGGATTTACTCTGGTAACAAATGAAATAATACAGAAGTCAGTCTTCTGCTTTAGGTAATAGAACAATGAAGACCATGTAAGCTTCTCACTTTAAACAACAAAAAGCAGTTTTCATACCCTGGACAATAGATGGCTTAGGACAGTGAACCTAGAGGAAAGGAAGACCAACACGGTGAGTCTTAAAATTATGCTTCACTGATATCGAGAGAGAGCTTCCTGGCCACAGCGTAGGGAGACGCAGCTGAAACACAGCCTGCTGCTCTCCATGAGTTGAGGAGACAGAGGAGACCAACAAGGACAGAATTCACAGGCAGATACCAGTGAGGAGAGTCCCACACAGAGGGACGCTTGGAGCATGAATGTGGGGAGATGACCCACAGCTGGGAAAAGAACCATCAGAAGCACGGATAAAGCTGCTCCTGGAGCACACACGGGGCTAGAATAATGCAAGAAGTCTTGTGAAACATGAAGGATTTGAGTGGACACTTAGAAAGACATTGCCTTAGTAATGGTTTCAAGTTAACCCTAGATTAAAGTCTGCTCTGGTCTCCCTGAAAAAGCTTAAAAGTCAGTTTAGGAAAGGCCAAACTAGTCTCAAATTTAACTTTATCCCAATGCTCAAAAATATTTGCAATATTCCCCCCAAAAGCCTGTAGAGATGGAAATTATAATGTTTGAGAAGAAAAATACACTAGATGAAATTAAGAACAAATTAGACACTGTAGACAAAATGTTTAGTGAACTTGAGGACACAGTAATAGAACTATCTGAAATGAAACAGAGAAAAGTGAAAAAGAAAAAGAACAGATCATTCATGAGCTGTGGGACAATTTTAAATGGCCAAATATGCTGATACATGAGATTAATGTTCTAGAAGAGAAAAAAAAGGAGTGTACGGAAAAAGTATTTAAAAAATAATGGCTGAAAAGTTTTAAAATTCAATAAAAGTAGAAACTCAGAGACTCAAGAATCTCAATAAATCACAAAGAACAAGAAACATGAAAAATATGACACTAAGGCTTAACATAATCAAATTGCTGAAAACTAGCAATGAAGAGAAAAAGTAAAAAGCTGACAGAGAAAACACGTGACACATTATGTACAGAGGAGTAAAGATGCAAGAATGACGGGACACTGTTTTTGGAAACAATGAAAGCCAGAAGACAATGAAGTAGTGTATTTTAAGGACATGCAAGGACACCCTATGATTCTACACTCCTCAAAAATATCTTTGAAAAACAAAGACAAAATAAAGACTGTAAGATGTACAAATTGAAAGAATTTAGCAGTGCACTAGTAGTTAAAAAAAAAAAAAATCAAAAGAAACTCAATACAAGGCTAAGTATAAAATATTTTTTTCCTTATTTAAAAATTTCTTTATAACTTATAATTTAAAGCAAAAATTAAAAAAAAATTATATGGTGAGATTTATATTAATAACATATGCAGATATAAAATATATGACATAATAGCTAGAAGTCCAAAAGAGGGAAAATGAAAGTATACTGTTAACATGCTCTAAGTAAAGAGGTATAGTGCTATTTGAAGGTAGATTAGGTTAAGTTAAAGATGTATAGTATAAACATAAAAAGATTGCTAAAAAATACAAAGAGGTATAAACCTAAAAGGAGATAAATGAAATAACAAATAATCAAGTAATCTAAGAGGCAGAAAAAGAGGAAAAGAGAAACAAAGAAAAGATGTGACAAGCAGAAAACAAACAGCAAGATGGTAGATTTAAACACAGCCATATCAATAATCATATAAAAATAAAAATCACTTAACACCCACTAAAAGACAGAGTGTAAGACTGAATAAAAAGATCCAACTATATGTAGTACAAATTTATTTTTAATATAAAGACACAAAAACACTAAACTAAGCAGATGAGAAAAACATTTTAAGCTAACATTATTCAAAAGAAAGCTGACGTAACTATGTTAGTCTCAGTCAATGTAGATTTCAGAGCAAAGAATATTGCCAGGAATAAAAAAGGTCATTTCATAATGATAAAGGGATCAATTCATAAGAGGACATAAGAATCCTAAACATTAATGCATCGAATAAAAGAGCTTCACAACATAAGAAGCACAATCTTAAAGAACTGAAAAGAGAAATAGATGCATCTATGAATATAGTCAGAGATTTCAATACTCTTAATAATTGATAGAACAGTAGAGAGAAAATTAGTAAGGAGACAAAAGTCTTGAACAAACAACCTCATTGATATTTACAGAACATGCATTCAATTTGATCACGCTAAACACTCTTTTTAAGTGCACAAGGAACACATATACCAAGAGAGACCATATTCCATCCATAAAGCAAGCTTCAACACATGTAAAAGGAGTCAACTCATACCAAATACTTCCTTACCACAGTGGAACTCAATCAGATATCAATAACCAAGTTACCTAGGTAAGAATGTATTTAAATCAAGACTGGCCACGTAACAATTAATCGTTGAAGGCGAGTGATGAGTACAATGAAGGCTCATCATGCTAGTCTTTCTACTTTTGCATATGTTTGAAAATTTCTATAATAAAATGCAAAACAAAAATTAGAGCAGACATTATTATTATTAGCACATGAAACAGGAAAAACTGAGAGGATCATAAAAGTTAACAAATGAGAACACAAAAGGGTACAGTCACTTTGGAAAGCAATTCGGCAGTTTCTTACCAAGATGAATGAACTCTTAGCACAAGTCCCTACAATTCCATTCCTCAATATTTAC